CTCTTTAAGAATTACACGACTCAATTGTTTGATTGCAAAAAATAAAAAATGAGCATCTCAAGTTTTTAATCGCATTTAAGACAATTACATAAAATAATCACATCTAATTGGCTTAAAACTTAAACATAGTTACAAATTAAAGATTCAGCTACCTGATGTGTCAGCATGTCATGCACATTTGCCAGGACATCAAGGATTCCTCAGAACTGTTTATCGAAATCATAATAAAAAAAAAAAACTTTATGAAACATTGCGACCCCTGATTTATAACGGGACTAAGTGGAAAAGAAAATGAAAGAATGCATGAATGCTAATGTTTTCAGATCATAAAACTGGTTGTTGTGGTCACGTGGTCCTTCTGCCAGTCAAAACTTCTATATATTCTGCATCAAAACTTTCCCCAAGACAAGGTTTCAACACAGCTTGAACTGACATGTCCAGAATAATAAAAACCTCAACAAGGATTAGTCTTGCCACTCAAATGACAGCACTTGTGTATAAACATTTCTGCAGCTTCAGCCAAAGTTTTCTGCAACATGCTTAGTCAGGACACTCCACTGCTCAAAACACAGTGTACCCATCAAGCAAAGCATTTTATTTTCCTTACTATGAAGTGTGCACTTACCAGTCGCTTGCTGTAGCGCGGTTTGTGATCGTCCATTGTCAGGATGGAGTCTCGCGCGCAGCCCGCCGGTGCACGGGCAAATCGTGAACGCGCTTCTGTCAGATACTCCCGTTAGAAATAAACGCAAAACTGGCCTTGATAGTCACTTCATTACAGTGTCATTGTTTTCAAAATAGCTATACTTCACATTAATACAGCTTGTTTTTAAATATGGTTAGCAGCTTCTCACATAAAAGCTCCGTTTTTGGCGATTTCAATGTGTTCTTCAATACTACACAAGAATACCGTTACATTCTCACACAAAATGGGAAAATAACTGTATAAATAAAACGATATTTAGCCTGGTATTCACGCTGAACGCTGCTAAATAAGTGACGGGCAACAGCTAACGTTAACGTAACGTAACCATCCGCTATCTAGTCGCAAAATAATAAATTACAAGGCGATATGGAGTATTGGTTATACATACGGCTTATATGTACAACGTCTAATATTACAGTCAACCATAAAGAGTGAAGCGAGAAATGAGCAGCGTATTTTTATCGACCAACATACGCTAAATCCACCTCAAGTTTAAAATATAAAGCATATTTCCACAAGACTTAAACTCGGGCTCACTGTGGGGGAAATCCAGCGGTAAAAGGAGTCCTCGTGTATTGCTTACAGATAAACTGTGCACCCCGAGTAAACCTATCTAGTAACTTTTTTTATCCTACATGAAAGTAAGCATTATTAAGCTTCACACAGCTCCACTGTGTGAATTCACGACAAAGTTAACGTAGTAGATCATTCGCCGCCATTTTCAGACCGTCACAAAAACACCACGAAGCAAGGACCGCCCATCTGAGGTTAAGCGTCCAATCACAAACACATGCGACGCCACCGCTTTCACTCTTATTGGCTAATGTTGTTGTCAGTCCAGGGGAAGGCGGTGATAAGAAGCAAATAATAATGCACGTGACCAACAAAACCGAACTCTTGTTGGCTACTGATGCACGCCGATCAAAACATCTAAACAAAGATTGGTTTACATGCGCTGGAAGCGTCGCGTTCCCAACCAATCGAATATAAAACATGAACGCAATCGGTTTTAACAATTTTAAGCATAAAAAGACTTTAACTAGAAGTAACATCACAAGTGAAATATAGATTTTACATACCTTAGATCTTGACGTCGCATCGCCAGCGGACATCACGTCCATAACCGAGTATAAAGCCGTCGCTTTTGGCCGTCTGGTGAAAGAAACCTACATTTTCTTTGGGTTTTGGTCGGTGTTACTTCGCATAAGTTTTTCACGGTGTCATCGAGATTTCCTTTAGTCTAATAAGTTGTCTGAAAACACTCCGAGTAATTGTACACATTGAATTATCTCCCCCACCCGTCCCCGTGTTACTCCGCATGGTAAAACTTTTCGTTGAACCCCAGAGATCAGGAAGTAGTTGCTGATTGGTCAATCATTAGCCGACGCGCAGCTGCTCATTGGATTAAACGTGTCGATGACGCCCAAAAACCTTCCACAGAAAACTTCTCATATGAATATAAATTAATAACAAGTCTATCGACTTAAAGCACGGACAAAAGAATGAACAACACCGATTTTACACAACGGCTTTTATTCACAATTAGCCTCAATCTAGAGATGAATTCAAGTTAGACAACTGTAAAATTCACATCCAGTGCCTCCTAATTATAAAAGTCTAGAGACAAATATCACCAAAACTATTGCTACTTATCTAAATTAAGCAAATGATCAGAAACAGCAGAAATCAGAAATAATCTGCACTAATATAAAATAACTTGAGGATAAAAGAATAAAATAAGCCTATTCAAGACTACCACTGCAGCCGTGACACCAAAACCTTTAAAAACCCTCACACAACACACCTTTCAACTAAAAAACACATTGTTTTTACCATTTTATAGGCATGATAATGCAGTTTTTAATAACACAAGTCAAAGTATAGTCTTTTAAAACTATGCCATCACTGTCTATGTGAAAACATTTGAAAACTGTCAGATAATGTGCATAACTACTACATGTTCAGGCTAAAGCTATGTGTACAGGTGCATAATGCTGTTGCCAACTATTGGCTTTGCATGCATTTAAAAAAAAGAGTATGTGTGACTGTGACCTGAGATCATTTTGATAGCATTCAAGTAGAAACAATGCAAAAAGACATTAATTCAGTTTTTTTAGTACATCATTGTCGTGTAAATGTACTCCAATTCACCACTGAATCCCTCAAGACCTTCAATTTCTTTTTATAGTGTTGTATTTAAATATGTGAGCAAAAAATGTCTACCGCATGTTCTCCCTGTCTTCGCGTGGGTTTCCTCCAGGTGCTTTCCCCACAAGTCCAAAGACATGCAATATAGGTGAATTGGGTAGGATAAATTGTCTGTAGTGTATGTGTGAATGAGAGTGTATGGGTGTTTCCCAGTACAGCTGGAAGGGCATCCGCTGTGTAAAACATATGCTGGATAAGTTGGCGGTTCATTCCACTGTGACAACCCCTGATTAATAAAGGGACTAAGCTGAAAAGAAAATGAATGAATGAATGAAAAATGTCTACAGGTAAAATTGTTGACGTTACTTTGAGATGTAGTTCTTTGTTGTTAACCTTAAAGTCCGTCAGCGCACATTGTTATTTTTTTTAGGTGAATTATCAATTTCATTCATTTCCTTTCGGCTCAGTCCCTTTGTTCATCAGGGGTCGCCACAGCGGAATGAACCGACAACTAATCTAGTACATGTTTTACACTGTGGATGCTCTTCCATCAGCAACCCAATACTGGAAACATCCATACACACTCATTCACACACATATACTACGGACAACTCTGTTTATTCAATTCACCTATAGCGCATGTCTTTGGACTGTGGGAGAAACCGGAGCACCCAGAGGGCACCCACTCAAACACGGGGAGAACATGCAAACTTTACACAGAAATGCCAACTGACCCAGCCAGGGCTTGAACCAGTGACCTTCATGCTTTGAGGTGACAGTGCTAACCACTGAGCCACCATGTGGCTTACTATCAATTTGTAAAAGTTAATTTATTCCAAAAAAAAGTTTGTTTTGATAATCTTCAACCAAAGTCTGCCCATTTCCTTCTATGTTTGGAGTGGCGGTCCTGCTCTGGTGTCGTTAGTTTGATGGCTTCAGCCAAAATATACTTAACCACACCCCCTATTATTGTTAATTTGCTAAAAGAAAGCTCAGCCCCTACTTAATATTGAGTTTCAGTTGGAAGTGCATCAACATACTGAAATAAAAGTCTCAGCAACTTCCTTTAAACTTTAAATTTACCACAGACTTTGTTTCACTCATTAACTTTGTCATTTGATCATTTAGAGCTTAGGTCTCGTATTCCTGGAGGGCCGCAGCTCTGTACAGTTTTGCTCCAACCTTGCTCTGCACAAGACGTTTGGCCATAGGTCGACCAATGGTCGTGCCCAACTGAGTCTGGTTTTTTGTCAATTGGTGAAGTTTTTTCCTCGCCGCTGTCGCCACCGGCTTGCATGATTCGGGATCTGTAGAGCTGTGCATCGATGGATTTTCTCTTCAGTGTTTGGACTCTCAGTAATGAACAGAACTGAACTTAAACAACTGGAATGACACTGTTTCAATTTACTATGATCTTCTATGTGAAGCTGCTTTGACACAATCTACATTGTAAAAGCGCTATACAAATAAAGGTGAATTGAATTGAATCCCAACAGCTTCTGAACACCTTCATTAGTTGGATCAGCTGTGTTTGATAGGGTTGGAGCAAAACTGTGCAGAGCTGCGGCCCTCCAGGAATTGAGTTTGAGACCCATGATTTAGAGGCAACGAGTGGTGAATTAGCCTTTGATGTGACGACTGCAGCAGAGAGGGTTTTGTAATAAAGACTAACACTTTCTATTTAGGATGTGACATGAATCATGCTGCACTGGAAGAGTCTGAGCAAACAATCCAAATCTTTTTGTCTGAAGCAAAACAGGGCATCGGTTTACTGTCAGAGATTTACTGCTTATGTCATCCAGTGTAGACAGAATTGCTAATTATTAAAGCATTACTGTTATCCAGTGTAGATAAAACCACTACTTAAAAGTATGACTGTCATCCAGTGTAAACAAATATCCATAAATTAGCAGTTTTTCATATTTTTTGTGATTCAGGGTTTTATTTTTCCCTGTTTATTTGTTTTTTAATTGCATTACGGGACCTAAATCTTTCTTCCAACAACTTTTAACCTTAAAAAGTTAGAAAAAAAATCACTTTTGTTAACAATTAATAGTTTAAAGTAATATATTGTCTGGGTCAGTGTTGTATATAAAGCTACAAAAACCTTGTAATAAACTGCCAGAACATTTTCTGGTATTTTACAGACTTATATTTCTCTATACATTATTTCTTATAGATTATATTATTTCAAACTACAAAAATGTCAATGAAAGCCACTTTGTCAAACAGTAGAGTTGAATTTTCAACATCAAAAGTGGACAGAGCAGAGATCAACATCCTATAATGCAATTCACAACCATAAATAAACAGAAAACACTTGTGAATCCCAAATTACAGAAACTGTTAATTATCAGAAATTTTGTACACTGTAGACACAATGTAAGCGGGCACCAGTATTCATCAGGATGTTTCACTTGTCAGTTATAAAAATGAGGCCTCGAAAAACAAAAATGTTATCCTCATACAGGCTATATCCAAAACCAACTAAAAATAAAAGCAAATATTTATACCACAACCCTAAAAGATAGCTTGCACACCACATTTTACTGTGATGCTTCTAATAACGCAAGGCCAAATGATGAGACAGGAAAATCGTAAAAGACAAATATAGAGATGGGAAAATGAGATAAACAAGCAATGGAAAACATGTTGTGTGTTTGGGAATGCTTATTGTTCATCGGCACGAGGATGCTCCTCTTGATTTGTTGATAGACACTGTGAACTTGTAAGAGTAGACAAAGTCTTCCTCTGGGAAAACAAATCAAAACAGGATGTTACTCACAAACTTTCAACAAACACTACCTGACAAAAGTCTCGTCTATCTAAGTTTTAGGAACAACAAGCAAATAATTGACTTCTAGTTGATCATTTGGTATCAGTAGTGGCTTTTATGAAAGGCAAAGGCCTCTAGAATACGCTTATTTTACCCAAATAAAATATGATCATGCTTTGATTTTTATTTATTTAATTAGGTCTGACTTTGCTTAAACAAAAGTCTTGTCACTTAACAGAAATACTGTACAGCAGTGGAAAAAGTGTTAATATTGTGTATGACTCCCACGAGCTTGGAGGACTGCATCCATACATCTCTGCAATGACTCAAATCACTTATTAATAAAGTCATCTGAAATGGCAAAGAAAGCTTTCATGCAGGACTCCCAGAGTTCATCAAGATTCTTTAGATTCATTTTCAATGCCTCCCCCATCTTACCCTAGACATACTTAATAATGTTCATGTCTGGTGACTGGGCTGGCCAATCCTGGAGCACCTTGACCTTCTTTGCTTCCAGGAACTTTGATGTGGAGGCTGAAGTATGAGAAGGAGTGCTATTCTGCTGAAGAATTTGTCCTCTCTTGTGGTTTGTAATGTAATGTGCAGCACAACTTGACTGATTTATGTGAGATTTCTTTGTCCATGCGGGTTCCAGTAGGTCTTCTGCAGTATATGTGATGTTTGGGATGCAGTTCAACAGATGATTCATCTGAAAAATCTACCTTCTGCCACTTTTCCAAACGATCAACTAGAAGTCAGGTTATTATTTGTTGCTTTTACAGCTGTGATCAACGACAAGTCAGGTAGTGTACTGTTCATAAAGTAACTTAATCATTAATATTCACCTTGTAGTCTATGTCAGCCAGCTGTAGACCAGAGAGCCTCCGATGACCGCAAGAATTGTGCAACACAACATGATCATCATCTTTTTCTGCAGGGGTGTAAGTGATCAGGATATAAAGACAGTGAAGGGAAGCAAAGGGAAAGGATGATTGGGAAATGTGTAGAAAGCAGAGTTGAAATCACGTAGAAGAAACAAGACATCAGTGCAAGAAGAGAAGTAAAAAAACAGAAGAAATCAAAGGGTAATGAATAATAATAAGAAGAAGAAAAAAAACCCTGCAAAACATGAAATGCAATTTGAAAATCTTAGAAACTAGTAGTTTACAGAATGGGAATGTGTCCTCACAGCGCAATGCATTCTGGAAATTTGGGAAACGGGAACATGGATCCTATTGAGCTCTATAGGTTTATCATCATTTCATTATATACACTGACTTGCAATAAACTGTAAGTGCTCAAACCACAGTTAGAGAAGAAATTATATATAGAAATGTTTTCTTGCAGCAGCTTATTAATACGCTGTCACTTACGAATAGGTTGGTTCATTTTAGCGCTGGAGAACTATTATATTACAGAATGCTTGTTTTAAGCTACTCAGACACACAACAAGTGTTTATAAAGCTAGTGCTGTCAAACAATGGTGACTAATAGCATCAAAAATAACAGTTTGTATTTACATAATGTATGTCTAAGGTGTATAAATGTTGTGTATCTATAAATAAAAGTATTAAAAAATTCTACAAAATAAATAAATAAATATATATATATATATATATATATATATATATATATATATATATATATATATATATATATAAATGTATTGTAAATAAAACTGCTTTTTTTTCTGTGGTGATTTGCATTAGTTTACATTTGCTGGAAAATATTTGGCAACGCAACTTGCAGATTCCCATTCTCCATTCATTATATCCATGAACATAATACACAGATAAAGATTGTTTGTTTTATGACACAGTTGCTGTACTCGTTCAAGCTCACCCTGCGTGCTTCCTGTTGGAACTTGGCAGCTTTTTTAGTGTCAGCCACAGCTCTTTCCACAAAACCCACCGACTGGTCCATGTTGCTCTCAATCCTGTCAATCATGCTTCCCTGTCGACAAATATAAATATTAAATGCTTAAATCTATCTCAAACCTGAGCGAAACAACATATAAAAGGTCTCCATTAAAGGGATAGTCCACCAAAATTGAAAATGCTGTCATCATTTACTCACTTGTTCAAAACCGATTTCAGCTAATTTGTTTATGGTCAATGGCAAACAGCGTTTTTAACAGCATGTTAATAAGAGGTTATGAACACATAACTGCCAACACTCCCATTTCATCTGGGAGTCTCCTGTATTTCAGACCCATCTCCCGCCACCCTCCCGTTTTGTTATTTCTCCTTAAAAACTCCCGTAATTTCACAACCCCCCCCAGCCAACCCCCCCCCAAACCCCCCACCCCCAATCCTCAGCTTTCTGGTACAGTCTATAACACCCCAGGATCGCCGACTTTGCTATAGTATCCAATCGCAGCGGCTTCACGAAACCCGGTCCATAGTAGTAACTTACGGTAGCTGTGTTATTCAAACACCTCACCCTCTAAACTTAGACATTCCCAGCACTCCGGCTCTCCCCTCCCCTGTCTATTTTCAGAGACAAATGTTGGCAAGTATGTATTAACATGCTTTTAAAAATGCTGTTTGTCATTGGCTTTTATAGTATGTATGGAAGTACCCAAATAGTACACATTTTCTATGGAAGTCGAATAGTTGATGGGTTCCAGCAACGAGCATTCTTTAAAATATCTTCTTTTGTGTTCAACAGTAGAAAAAGGCTGGTAAACGTGAGGGAGAGTAAATGATGAGGTGATCTTCACTTTTGGGTGAACTATTCTTTTGAAGATGAACACATGTACCTGATTCTCCACCAGCACCGCGATGTCCACAAACATGTCATGAAGCTCTTTTATGCTGCTCTCCAGGCGCATGATATCTTTGTGTCTTGCCTCGATCTCACTTAGGGCCTGTTTAGATATTCCAGAATCCATAATCTACGGAAAAGAAGAAAGTATTTATAAGCATACTTAATTGAAAGTCTAAAAATCTGTAAGATATTAAACATTTACAAAACCGTGAACAATCATTGTGGTTTAAAATATATTTTTATTTTAAAATATCTTACATTTGGTAATTTATTAGCATGTTTTCAGCTTTACTTAATCCTTCAGAAATCATTTTAATGTTGATTTAGTGCTCAAGAACAATTTTATTTTAAAGGTTGGAAACTTCTGCTAGTATTCCAGTGTTACATTTTACCTCCTTTCTAGGGGTTCGGAGAAAATGTAACACTGGTTCGAGCCTCGACTGGGTCAGTTGGCGTTTCTGTGTGGAGTTAACATGTTTTCCCCACATTTGCGCGAGTTTCCTGGTTGCTCCGGTTTCCCCCACAGTCCAAAGACATGTGGTATAGGTGAATTGGGTATGCTAAAATTATTGAGTGTAAATGAGTGTGTATGAATGTTTCCCAGAGATGGGTTGCAGCTGGAAGGGCATTCGCTGCCTAAGACATGTGCTGGATAAGTTTGCAGTTCATTCCGATGTGGCGACCTTGGATTAATAAAGGGACTAAGCCGAAAAAAAATGAATAAATGAATGAATAAATAAAAATATCTAATTTAATTTGTTTAAATGAATAATAACAACAACAACAATAATAATAATAATAATAATAATAATAAATCAATGTTTAATAATGTGCATGGAGAATCTCCTTTTTCTCTATCCCAGCATACTTTCACTTAAGATAAAAGGAAAAAGAAAAGTTGGGGGGGGGGGGGGGGGAGATTTTAAAAATGTTGTCTTTTATTCACTGTTTAACAGAGGCAACCTTTTTTTACATTTACAGAAAGGGTAATCAAAAAAAAGATATTACTTAAATAAAAACTTGCATAGCTAAAATCGTCAGGAGAGGGTAAGGCCAAATAACAAACAAAACAAAAGCTTCCTTAATAGACAATAAGTCCTATATTTCCTATTACAAAAAAAAACTCAAAGCAATGACAATGCTCTTACCTCACTCTCTGACTGAGTTACACATCTCTTTTATTCACACTACAATCTCACAAGTTCATATTTTAAATATCACACTATATCACTGGGATAGCAAAAACAGGCACTCTCTCTGTGCTTAGCTGCTCTGCCTCTTAATAAAGTATATATCAAACTATATCACTGCCTTTGGCAATGTCCTAAAATACAAACGTTTTGGAAAATATCTGAATGCATGTCAGACATGTTTAATATTAAAATCCCTTTGAATGCCAAGCTCTGTATTCTTGGTTTGTATCCCATGAAACTTAGAACTGGAAAGACAACAATTTTGGATTTTGTTTTTCTTCAAGCTGGAAGGGCTATTGCATTACGCTGGAAACACATGGACGCTCCATCCGTGGAATTGTGAAAAAGGAGATAGTGAATTGTATGGACTGGAGAGACTTGTCACGATCCCCAGCTGGTAAACTCACAGATCGCATTGAACTACAAATCTACCAGTATATGGACTGCAAGATCCAGTCATGCAACACACACGAATACACCTGCTCCAAGTCTCCATTGATTAGACTCACACAGCTGATGCTGCTCATGGACTGATTACATTACACACACACACACACACACACACACACATATATATATATATATATATATATATATATATATATATATATATATATATATATATATATAGCTCACTTTGAAACTCTCATTGCTGAGTTTTGTTATACTAAATGTGAACGTGGTTTTCCTTGCCTTCTGTGTTTGAACCTTGCTTTGTTTTGTTAGTTTATTTTTGTCTGCTGCCTGCCTTTTGACCATCTGCGTGTTTATTGACTCTGGATTGCCCATACACTTCTGCTTGTTCCTGTATTGACCCATGCTTGCCTGACCATTCTGTTTAATAAAACCTGCAAAAGGATCCTCACTCTAGGAGGACTATCTTTGGGAACCATATATGAATATTACGTAAATGTTTGTTTGTAAACATTTTAAAATTTTAAAACTGTATTATTATTTTCATTATTTTATTATGATTTTTATTTACTTAATTTTTTTTTTAACTTTTTTAGTTATGTCATTTGACTGTGTATATATACAGGTAAAGTAAAAATTATTAGCCCCCCTTTAATTTTGTTATTCTTTTTTAATTATTTTCCAAATTATGTTTACAGAGCAAGGAAATTTTTACAGTATGTCTGATAATATTTTTTCTTCTGGAGAAAGTCTTATTTGTTTTAGTTCAGCAAGAATAAAAACAATTGAAAATTTTTAAAAACACATTTTAAGGTCTATATTATTAGCCCCTTTTTAATTTTTTTTAATAGTCTACAGAACAAACTATCATTATACAATAACTTGCCTAATTACCCTAACCTGCCTAGTTAACCTAATTAACCTAGTCGAGCGTTTAAATGTCACTTTAAGCTGAATAGATGGGTCTTGAAAAATATCTAGTAAAATATTATTTACTATCATCATGGTAAAGATAAAATAAAATAGTTATTAAAAATGAGTTAGTAAAACTATTTAGAATGTGCTGATAAAATCTTCTCTCCATTAAACAGAAATTGGGGAAAAAAATAAACAGGGGGCCTAATAATTCAGAGGGGCTAATAATTCAACTATGTGTATATGTGTATGCTGCATTGTTATTGTGTGCCTAGTTGATGTGGGGGGGGAAAGAGAAAAAAAATCAATAAATAAATGTTTGAAACTGTTTTTTTTAATTATTCTTTTAGTGAAATTGTCATGATCTTTAATGAACAGAAATAGTTTCTTACAGCAGTTATCGAATATAATGTTTTTGTAAAAATACAAAAATTATAACAAAATTATATTCTTACGACAAAACCTCACACACACAGACATAAACAGAATAGTACCCACTCCTGCTGTGAAAACCGCAGCGTTCCCTCCATCCAGCATTTCCTCCAGTTCCTCATCAGTAGTGGCTTTTCCAGCTGTAACACAAGATTCACTATTGGCCCTAAACATGCATATGATATCAAATCTATGGATCATATAAATCAAACCCAAAGGTTGGTCTGTGCGTGTGTGCGTATTGTCACTCACTGATCTCCAGTTGTCTTTGAATGCGTCCTTTGCTCTTCTCTCTAAACTCCACTTGGGCTTCATTGTATTTGGTCATCACCTCTACAAACTTCTTCGCAAGAATGGCATGCTAAAATGTAGGAAGCAAACACCGTATGAGTAAAAGTAAAAACTCCTTATTAGCTAGTGGGAGGGTGATTGGTTACCTGAGATTTTTTTATCCGCATATCAGCTGAAACCCTCTCCTCGGTGTTAGCTGCCAAATTCTGCTCAATGCCTGTCAATGAAATAGTTCAGAAATTATAGATAATATTAGTGTATCATTTTGTCCAGTTATTATTATATTGTCATTAAGTAAGAACAGAAGTGTACTTTTTAGTTTATTGCGAGCATTGTTGGCCAGTTTCTTTATCTCATTGGTAACTGCTTCCAATTCATCCTGTGTCTCTGGTTGAGAAAGGAGATGAGAAATAGGTGAAACATGAAGATGTTGGGGAGATGAGAGAGAAAATGAATAGGTAATAATAACAACAAGTGACTAACTCTGCTCTGATGTTGGCGCAGAGAGAATAACAGAATACAGTCGCTTGATCTCCACTACATTTTCATCAATCTTGTCAATACTGGTGCGGATTTCTTCAATCTATAAAACAAGCAGAAATTACTACATTTTGACATTCAAATGCTCCACTTGACTTAAATACAGTGTAGTTGATATGCAAATACCTGAGCAAAGAACTCATCCATGAATTCTTTATTTTCCATCGGAATTTCCACATCATCGGCAGTCTGATCCGACTTCTGGATTGACATACATGAACAACAACAAAATGAGTGCTAGCCTGGAAAAAAAAACTACACTACCTGACAAAAGTCCTGTCGTCGATCCCAGTAGTAAGAGAAACAAATAATAACTTGATTTCTAGTTGATCGTTTGGAAAAGTGGCAGAAGTTAGATTTTTTCCAATGAATCATCTGTTGAACTGCATCCCAAACATCACAAACACTGCAGAAGACCTACTGGAACCCGCATGGACCCAAGATTCTCACAGAAATCAGTCAAGTTTGGTGAAGGAATAATCATGGTTTAGGGTCACATTGAGTATGGGGGCGTGCGAGAGATCTGCAGAGGTATCAAGACATTTGTGCTGCCCACTACATTACAAACCACAGGAGAGGGCAAATTCTTCAGCAGGATAGCCCTCCTTCTCATACTTCAGCCTTCAGAACAAAGTTTCCGAAAGCAAAGAAGGTGAAGGTGGTCCAGAATTGGCCAGCCCAATCACCAGACATAAACATTATTAAGCATGTCTGGGGTAAGATGGGGAGGAGGCATTGAAGATGACTCCAAATAATCTTGATGAACTCTAAGAGTCCTGCATGAAAGCCTCAAAGTCATTTGAGTCATTGCAGAGATGTATGGATGCAGTCCTCCAAGCTCATGGGAGTCAGACACAATATTCATTCTTATTCCACTGCACCATGACTTTATATTGTACACTGTACATTATTTCTCTTAAGTGACAAGACTTGTCAAAGCAAAGTCAGACCTTACTGTCCAAATTAAATAACTAAAAATCAAGGCATAATCATATTTTATTTTGGTAAAAGCGTATTCTACAGGTCTTTGCCTTTCATTTAAGCCACTTTTGATACAAAATGATCAACTAGAAGTCAAGCTATTACATGCTGTTTCTAAAACTTGGATAGACGACAAGACTTTTGTCAGGTAGTGTATAGTCAAGCTGTTGTTTAGCTGGTAACCCAGCTGGTCTCTGAGACTGTCTAGACCAACAAACATTAGACTGGTTGCGATTTTTACTTTAAAGTAAACCTGAAAAAAAAATGGTCCTCACAGCTTTATCTTCAAGATTTGTAGAAAAACTCCACAATACAGAAACCTTTAAATTGTTTTTAAACTGTATACAATGAAAACCACCCACATGAAAAAATACTATAATTAATAGTGTTTTTGAACACACTGTAAAGGTATTTCACTGTGATAGTACAACACTTTACTGAGCAATACAGCATTAACTTAGAAATGATAAACTATTTAATACTGTATTATACCTCACAAAATGTGTGTGAGGGAATTTGCATCATTCTGTATTCAGCTACATAAACTTAGTACAGAATTGGGTAATTTGTTATTATAGTTTAGTATTACCACAGCATATTAATTCAAGTACTTCATAGTAAGTAAAAAAAAATTACAATACAGTGTTAATTATGCTCGACTAAAGGATGCTGTTTCGCTTCTAGCAGCGAGTCTCACATTTCAGACGCACGTTGACAGTTGTTTACTCTTTAAAACCTTTTCGTATAACAAGTATAATCTTCTGATTATTATAGGACACCCTCTGCTAACATTTACATAAAAATCTACAATAGTGATTAACGAGTTAGCCAGCCCAGTTGAGTCAATGCTGAGCTCAGGACCTCCCCATAGATAAAGGTCAAACAGTAGCAAATCAATCCACACGGTGTGTGTAATCCCAAAACCGTAATTCATAACAAATATTATCTTACCGATTTTAGTTGTTCCAGTCGGTCCTTCATCTTCGGCTCAATATGATAAGAGACTTAAATACTTCAAACGGCTGTAATGGTCAATATAGACGACAAATGACAGCAGCGGATTCGTTTTCAGAGCGGGAAACTAGAAAACATCATTAGCCACCACTTCACAACATGAAACGCTCAATTTAGATTCCCACTGTTAAGGTTTCTTATTGAAGATCCTCTTAAAATATCAGAGGAGTGTTCTTTTTTTTCTTGCAAAAAAACCAAACAGTATGGCAGTGTCGCTCCAGTCTTGTAGTTGTCCTAAGCCTATCCTCTCAGAGCGGATTAGAGCAACAGTTGTATGCTGGGTAGCTAATCTTCCTTCACTGAGGTGCTCCTGCTTCTCCATTAACACACATGATGGGAACCATCAAAACAGTGCTTGGTCAATATGGCAAGCTATTTTAACATTTAATCTACATATAATAAAAAAAATGTATATATTATTATCATCAATGCACAACTTTTGAATCACAATATACACCCTACTGGATTAAGCTCTGGTGACTGTGAAGGCCATTTGAGTATAGTGAACTCATTGTCATGTTCAAGAAACCAGTCTGAGATGATTCACGCTTAATGACATGGCGCATTATCTTGCTGGAAGTAGCCATCAGAAGATGGGTACACTGTGGTCATAAAGAGATGGACATGGTCAGCAACAATACTCAGGTTTCATAGACACAATGCTCAATTGTTACTAATGTGCTCAAAATGTGCCATGAAAATATCCTCTACACACCATTACACCACCAGCAGCCTGAACCATTGATACAAGGCAGGATGGATCTATGCTTTCATGCTGTTGACGCCAAATTCTGACTCTACAATCCGAGTGTTGCAGCAGAAATCGAGACTCATCAGACCAGGGAACATTTTTCCAATCTTCTATTGTCCAATTTTGGTGACTCGCTGAAGTGTAGCCTCAGTTTCTTGTTTTTAGCTGAGAGGAGTGGCACCAGGTGTGGTCTTCTGCTACTGTAGCCCATACGCCTCAAGGTTTGACATGTTGTGTGTTCAGAGATGCTCCTGCATACGTCCGTTGCAACAATAGGTTGAGTTACTGTTGCCTTTCTATCAGTTGAAACCAGTCTGGCCATTCTCCTCTGACCTCAACAAGGCATTTGCGCCCACAGAACTGCCGCTCACATGATTTTTTTTATTTTTCAGACCATTCTCTGTAAACCCTAGAGATGGTTGTGGATGAAAATCCCAGTAGATCAGCAGTTTCTGAAATACTCAGATCAGCCTGTCTGGCACCAACCTGTCTGGCACCAACAACCACGCCACGTTCAAAGTCACTTAAATCACCTTTCTTCCCAATTCTGATGCTCAGTTTGAACTGGAGCAGATCATCTTGACAATGTCTACATGCCTAAATGCATTAAGTTGCTGCCTTGTGGTTGGCTGAATAGAAATTTGTGTTAACAAGCAGTTGGACAGGTGTACTTAATAAAGTGGCCGGTGTCTGTAAGTAGCTATCATTATGTAACGAAATCACTTATCCACTGCAGTTTAGTACCGCTTGAAGTGGATGACACTATAGTTGTTGCCCCACTACTGCCGTGATTTCCTAAAAAACTCGTCCCATGTGAACCAAAAACACAGAGGTGCTTGCAGCGAACTATTTTAAATATAACAAATTTGGTATCTTTTGTCACAAATCAGTGTTTTGATAATGCTACAGCTGGAACCTCCTCACCTAACACTGATTTACTAAAAAAAGTACAGAGTGATACTGAAGTTACATACAAAATGCAGTGGAAAAGTGCATTAAGAGAACCAAGGGACAATCAATGATCTGCCGAGCGTTAAATGATTTTAATGCATGACATGGAGGTCATTTTATTAAGACTTAAGAGATGAAATCCAGCAGCAGGTCCCGATGATGTAAAGCTTCTCTTGGCAAGGAGGTGTTCATGGAGCTGCCGCTGACTGCCTGGAGCTCAGTGTTTGAATACACTAAAACAAAATTTCAAAGACGCACTATCTTTGTACATAAACTACCAATTTGACAATAAAATAACCACATTCCTGCTTGGAAAAACTCTTAAAACTTGATTTTGTGGCATAATAATTGAGAATTTTTCTAATTTTAGAATGAAAAATTACCCATTAACCACCTTCATTGGTTTGCCTGTGCAGTATATGCGAATACCTATCATAACAAGTGCATTTATTTTGAACTGTGATTAAACTGACTGGAACCAAAGACTATAGAATACACAAGACGTGTCACTCTTATCTTTTTGAATGGGGAAAAGTGTAACAGTCAATATGGCAAATAAAGCCCCGCTTTCTGGTACAGGAGCCAATCATCGATTGCTATATGGGGAATAAAGCCCACCTTCTTGCACAGGAGCCAATCATTGATCGCTATAGGCTGACGATACTCCAGGGGAGGGGCTCAGAGCAGACTTGAGTTTCTGAAGATTTTGTGTGATTTAGATGTTTAGAAATGAAACTAAAGAAACAGATGTTGTTTACTTTTATTGATGATTCCTAATACGAAATGTAATCATAAGCTTGGCAAGCAATTTTGAAGAATTTGATGTTTCCTCATTGAAACAGAATGCCCAAGCATGCTGCCCGAGAGGTGTTTAAAGATGGCCGCCGAGTGAAATGACCTGCCTTAAAGGTACTTTGCTTGAACTACCTGTGCGTTTAAATGAAAATAATGCACACCCTCCAGCCAGTCAGAATCAAGAATTTCAACAGACCATGGGATGAAGCACTAGTAGCCATCAACAGATACAGATGAGTTATATGGAATTATTTAAAATGACTTGCCAGAGGCGGACAGATCTCATGGTAAACACACTAATTTCCCCAATACTATGGAGGACCAGATGTGACACCTAATAAAATATCAATTGATCAACAATATCAAAATAATATTGTAAACATAAATACGAGGGGAAAAGAACAATAAAACAAACAACATTCAACCCTCTCCTAACCTTTCTGACACTAAGGCCTCCCGATGTACACAACCAAATTCCAGCCATAGGACCCATGTTCTGAAATGCACCCTTTCACCTTTTGTTGAATATTTATACTGCTGAATCTTCTTTTTGACACTCTAAATGAATGCAATCTTTACATTTTATATGATTAGTTTTCTTAAAATGAATTCACAACTAAAAAAAAAAAATTATTTTCTTTTTTATAAATTTGACTGCTGGACTGCTCCATGATGGATACTTTTTGTAATATTATTATTACATACCATTACATTATTATATGAATATTAGATTTCGTTGTATATTAGATATTTAATTACATTAAAATTGTATTTGTTTAACTCTTACCATACAAAATATGGTAGAAAATGATGTTATATATAGGTTAAGTATAATTTATACTTCTGGATATTTTTTGGGGGCCCCCAAATTTCCCCGGACCCTAAGCAGCCACTTGCCTCACTTATTGGTTAAATGGATATACAGTGTACTGCTTGTATGAAGGTTTTCAAACTATTCCCAGAGTTGCGTTACAAGAAGAGACAAGAACAATTTGGACAGAGCGATAATTTATTATATACGGTCCACAATTATTTAGTCTTTGTACAGTTCTCACAAGGACAAATAAAATGTTTTACCAGTAAGGAGATAATGTGAGATAAACTCAACACACTTGAAGTGCTTTTGTTTGTTACAACTCTTCATTTAAATCAACTGGATGGTCAAAATATGAAATGAAGAAGGAAGAAAAAAATGGGGAGGATGGATCGACTGCCATAAAATGAGAATGTAACATTTGCCTTAAAGTAGGGCATCATTCTAGTGGTTATCTTGCCATTGATTTTACTTATTACACATTTACCATGTGAGGATGATGCTGTGCTGCACAACTTCAGATGTACAGAGAAATATCTCCATGTGATGCTCTACTTTAAGGCTGCTTAAAGGGATAGTTCACCCAAAAATGAAGATTTACTCACCGTTAGTTGGTTCCAAAGCTTTATATAATTCTTTTTTTCTGTTGAAAACAAAATGAGATTAAAGAATGTTGGAAACTGGCAACCATTAACATCAATAGAAGGAAAAACAAATGGAAGTCAATGGTTACCAGTTTCCAACAATATTCAAATGATCTAATTTTGTGTTCAATAGAATAAAAAAAACTTAAACACCTTTGGAGGATGAGTAAATGATGACAAAATGTTCATTGTTTAAGTGTGCTATCCCTTTAATACCAGAACTGAGCATCTAAGTGTATGCTCACATTGAAATAAACCAAAATGTGCATCTTCAAAAGTCCCTGAAAAGTAAATCTACCTTATGCCACTGAAACACTGCGATTATTGGTGAGAGAACATGACGCTGCTTATATTGTCACTGTGCTGAGACGAGGCAGTCCGTGAAGCATGTTTATCTGTAGAGAAAGTCAGCCTGGATGTTGGCAGCGATCTCAGCCTCCCACTTGTCTCCATTGTTGAGGAGTTTCTCTTTATTATAAAGCAGTTCCTCATGGGTTTCTGTGGAGAACTCAAAGTTGGGGCCCTAAGATGTGGAAAGAAAGGCAGAGGTAAACATTAATGTAAATCTGATCTGTAATTAGTTACATAAATATTGTGATATTGTGCAGAATGAGAAGGAAAGAGCAATTCTTGGACTAAACAAGCAGGCAAGATGTTGATTTAGAAAGGATGAATTAAAATAATGAACATAACAGTCAATGGTAGGTTAGTTAATAACATATTTAATACAATATCCCTCTCAAACACTAAATGCAAATACAGTGTATGAGGAAAGTCTTCATAGCGCTTCACTTTTTCCACATTCTTTTGTTACAGCCTTATTCTAAAATAGATTAAATTCATTATTTCCCTAAAATTCTACACACAATACCCCATAATGACAATGTGAAAAAAGATTTTTTGAAATTGTTGCAAATTTATTCAAAATAAAAAAACCTGAAAAAAAATAATAAATCACACGTACATCAGTTTTCACAGCCTTTGTCATGAAGCTCTAAATTGAGCTCAGGTACATACTGGTACATCTCAGGTACATTTCCAATGATCATTCTTGAGATGTTTGAGCAGCTTAATTGGAGTTCACCTGTGGTAAGTTCAGTGGATTGCACAAGATTTGAAAAGGCATACACCTGTCTCTATAAGGTCCCAGGGTTGACAGTGCATGTCAAAGCATGAAGACAAAGGAATTGTCTGTAGAGCTCTGAGACAGGATTGTCGAGGCACAAGGCAGGAGAAGTTTGCAGAAAAATTTGGAAGATTTTTAAAACCATCAGGACTTTTCCTAGAGCTGGCCGGCCATCTAAGCTAAGACACATCGGGGGAGAAGGGCCTAAAGCCTGGTTTATACTTCTGCATCAAGTGATTGGAGTGACCCATGGCGCATGCAACACACGTAGCTGTGCAATTATACTTCTGCGCGCTGTTTCTGTTGCTCTGCAATAATACTTCCGAATTGCTAGTTGGCAGTAATGTGTTTATGTTCCTCTGTTTCGAGTTTCTTCGCTGGTGTTTTGTTTTTTTCTACCGGTGACCGTGCAACAACTTTAACCATAAGGTAAACACACACACACACAAACAAAAAAAAAATTTAATCTGGAGCTCCCTCACGGGACTCGACACTCGTAAACACTCCAACGGCTCTCGGTCCTGCCCACACTTCTCAGCGCTATCAAACCGACCAATCACAGAGCTTGCGCTACGCGTCGTTGCGACGTGTAGTTACATTTTTTGGGAGGTGCGCGTTGGCTATGCGTCCATGCGTAGGCTGCGCCGTAGCATACGTGTGCGCTTGACACATGAGTATAAATCAGCTTTTAGTCAGGGAGGTGATCAATAACCTGATGGTCACTCTGTCTGAGCTCCAGTGTTCTTTTGTGGAGAGAGGAGAACCTTACAGAAGGACAACCATCTGTGCAGCAATCCACCAATCAGGCCTGCGTTGTAGAGTGGCCAGACAGAATTCCTGTCTGGAATTTGCCAAAAGGCATTAGAAGGACTCTCAGACCATAAGAAACAAAATTCTCTTGTTTGATGAGACTAAAACTGATCTCTTTGAAGTGAATACCAGGCGTTACATTTCAAGAAAACCAGGCACCGCTCATTACCAGGCTAATACCATCCCTACAGTGAAGCATGATGGTGCAGTTTTCAGCAGCTGGAACTGGCAGACTAGTCAGGATAGAGGGAAAGATGAATGCAGCAATATACAGAGACATCCTGAATGAAAACCTGCTTCAGAGTGCTCTTGACCTCAGACCAGGGAGACGGTTCATCTTCCAGCAAGACAATGACCCAAAGAACACTGCCAAAATATCAATAGAGTGGCTTCACAACAACTCTGTGAATGTCCTTAAGTGGCCCAGCCAGAGCCCAGAGCCAAATCCTATTGAACATCTCAGGAGAAATCTGAAACTGGCTGTAGACCGTCGCTTCCTCTCCAACCTGATAGAGCTTGAGAGGTACTGCAAAGAGGAATGCAAAAATTTCCAAAGACAGGTGTGCCAAGCTAATGGCATCATATTCAAAAAGACTTAAGGCTGTAACTGCTGCCAAAGGTGCATCAACAAAGTATCGAGCAAAGGCTGTCATGTGATTTTTCAGGTTTTAATTTTGAATAAATTTGCAACAATTTCAAAAATAATCTTTTTTCACATTGTCATCATGGGGTATTGTGTGGTGTTCTGAGGAAACAAATGAATTTAAACCATTTTGGAAAAAGGCTGTAACATAAAAACGTGGAAAAAGTTTAAGCGCAATGAATACTTTCCAGATGCACTGTAAAATGCACATTAATAATTCACATGAAATAATAATAATAATAACGATAATAAATAATAAACGTTTTGTGACCAGCAATAATGATTTTTGTAGGATTATGTGACTTTATTATAATAATAATAATAATAATAATAATAATAATAATAATAATAATAATAATAATAATATAAATCTAAGTGGTTCAAAACCTTTCGTCAAAGTATAAACTGTAGTGATTATAATATATACTTTTGAATATTATACTGTGCTGTATTAACTGTATTAGTTGCTGACCTCTACAATAGCGTCCACAGGACAGGCCTCCTGACAGAAGCCGCAGTAGATGCATTTGGTCATGTCTATGTCATAGCGTGTTGTTCTCCTGCTGCCGTCAGCACGCGGTTCAGCCTCAATAGTGATAGCCTAAAAGAGAAAAATACAGTCATCACTTTTTAATTCACTCAGTTTTATTCACTTATGCAATTAAACAGACTTGCCATGGCATATAAGTGGTCAATGATATTGATTCTTTTTAATGGCCAATGGCAACAGCGATATCTTGGTGAGCAGAAGGTCTATGGCTGATATAAAGGTAATGTATGCTTCAAACAATTAATCATGAATATAATTAGAAAACATGCATAACAATGGCTGAAATTACATTTACTTTCAGATTAAAAAGCTATGACATATGGCCAAATTGACGTAGCACAGAATAGATTAAATCAACCAATAAAGACAATTAATACATACCAATTATCACCTGACATAATCAGAATGATGAAGGGAATTAACATTTACCTGGGCTGGGCAAATGGCCTCACAGAGTTTACATGCGATGCAGCGCTCCTCTCCTGATGGGTATCTGCGCAGCGCGTGTTCACCACGGAAACGGGGCGACAGTGGACCCTTCTCGAATGGGTAGTTGATTGTGGCTGGTTCACGGAAAAGGTAGCTAACGGCCATTCCCATACCTGCATCAACAAAAACATCAAGTGGTGCTGAGTTTTTAGGAGCTATCAGGATCATTAGTTTGAAGATTTTATCAAAGTGCTTCATATGATAAACGTCTGATGTTGTTCACTGACCTCTGATCAGCTCTGTCAACAGAAGAGTCTGAGCTGCACGGTCCGTAATGGACTTCCAGTCTGTGGCTTCCTCCTGATTATTGACATACTCTGCACACCGAAAAAGGTTTTATATTAAAGGATGAGCTCATCAAAAAATTAAAAAGTTTACATTACACACAGACATATTATATATATATACATTCACACACACACACACACACACACACACACACACACACACACACACACACACACACACACACACACGTGTACATAAATTCAATAATACATTTATTTTTTTGTCGGCTTAGTCCCTTTATTTATCCGGGGTCGCCACAGCGGAATGAACTCTATCTTATCCAGCACGTTTTTACGCAGCAGATGCCCTTCTAACCGCAACCCATCTCTGGGAAAGTGTGTGTATATATATATATATATATATATATATATATATATATATATATATATATATTTTTTTTTAATATTTTCCCTGACTCAACATTTGTGCAAACCTGTCAACCCTTTTGTTTTTCCCGGGACTTTCCCATATTTTACAATTTTATCCCGCTATTATCCATATATAAGATAAAGAAGCTGATCCTCCCTATATGCCAGTGGTTCTCAAAGTGGGGGTCGGGACCCCCCGAGGGGTCGCGGAGCAATGAAGGGGGGGTCGCCTGGTGATTTCCAAAAATCTATTTATTTTTATTAAACCATAAGAATTAACATATTTTATCCATAACTAAACTGAAAATAAAAATAGTCGTTTATAGTTACTATATACTATATAGTTACTATAGTAGCTTATAGTTACTAGTTCTATTGGATTGCGACTCCTGGGGTAATTACATTATATTAAAGGTAGCAATAGCGTCAGATGCATTTTGATTTTATAACATCAGGTTATACTTTCTGGCACATTTAAAGCACTGACACAAATTTAATTGGTGTGTCTGCGTCATTGCATGCAAGGTTTCTGTATTCATAATCACCTCAGAGGATATTGGGGGTCGCGAGTCACTGGCATTGTTATTTTGGGGGTCGTGGGCTGAAAAGTTTGGGAACCCCTGCTATATGCAACCCATATTGCCTCCACCAGGGGGCGCCCTTGCACTTAAATGCGAATCTGTTCTGTGCTTTTACTTTATTTAGGCATGAAAACACTTTAAAGTAAATATAAAAATGGGGGGATTCCCTTCTTTTCCATAACAGACACCTTTGCCCCTCCTATGCAATCCTCAAAACAGTCAGTTCATATAGCAGTGCATGACTGTCTGACGCGCTCTATAGTGATTGAAGCAGAGCGAAAGTGGACATTCTGGAGTTTGGGTGCATGTTTAAACAGACATATACACATAATAATAATAATAATAATAATAATAATAATAATATCTAAACATGTCGATTTTGGTGGGTTTTCTTTTAAACACAAATTTTGTCTTAAATGATCATAAAAAGTTAGGAAAGTGCATTTTTAAAGTGACACCTTGGTTATTTAGTGTAATCAAACGAAAAAGAGGAGGAGGGAGGGATATCCCTTATTTTAACATCCCAATGTTGTCAGGTATGCTGTAGTGGTACAAATCAAATTTGTCATTAAATAATAATGACACTATTATAAAATTTGAGAAATTTAAATGAAAAATCCATATTGTTCCACTAATAAATGTGATCAGATAATTATTCATGACACAATAATAATGGTCTCATGACAATTATGTTTATGACAGGTTTATGACAATCATGTTTATGACAAAATTATGTTGTCTTAGTAATGTTGAGTTAAATGTCGAAGACAGCTACAGGTTATGCCATGTTGTCACAACAAAGACATCTCAAACAATGGACCCTTTGTATTTAACATGACATAACTGAGCTAATGACACTTAATGACAGCATGGTTGTTCTTCCATGGTGAGGCGCCACGCCAAAATTCATTCGTGGCATGGCCACATTACAGCTTCTCATTCAAAACATTAAGTCATTGTTGTTGTTTATTTAATATTGGGTTATCATCGCACCAAAACATATTAAAATGTAAGAATTATAACAAAGCTAACTTTTCTGTTTTGTTTTGACTATCAGAGTGTAAACAGAATCATTTGTCCATTTTGGACCGTTAAAACTAGTGTTTGGGACATTTCATATGTTGCAAAACAGTTGCAAGATGACACTGTATGTCTGTAACAAAATATAAAACAATCAAAGTATTTTAAATAGCCGCTTAAAAGCTAAAATGAGCTGTCCACGTATGTGGCCACTAAGTCCTAGGAGGTTAAAATGCAGATAGCATCAGATAAAAATGTAATTAAAATAATAGTTCACTTCTGTCACCATTTATACCAGCTTCAGTTTTGGCACCATGAAATACTTACTAATCCCTGCTCTGTGCGCCGACAGGCTGAAAGGACGTATGAGATTCTGACAGGCCAGAAACGACCCTACGGAGTAAAAAAACAGCATGATCATCCAAGGAAGAGCCAAGGCTTCATCTTGATTGCATGTATAGATGTACCAAGAGTTTTAATAAATCATAAACCCACCTGGCCTTGAAGCAGTGTAGACCACACGTAATGCCGCCGACATCTCAGTGAAGTGCACTGTGAGCAACAGAGACAAGAATGAGAGAGAATAGGGATGTTATACATCTACTGACGCATTTTAAACACCATAATATGCTATAACTTTAGCAATTTCACCCGAATCGCAGCACTTACAATTTTGCAATAAATTTAGTTTTGTTTTATTCATATCTATATTCAGAGTTTTTATGGTGTTTATATAAAATTTGCCTGATTTTATACATTTAATTACACATATTTATATTATTATTCTGAATGTTCAGTGTTAAAGCAATAAAAAACAAAAATATGTTCCCAAAAGACGCTCTGTAAAAACCATCTGTAGCGTTACAGATGTTTTAGTGTAGACCGCACGTAATGCTGCACTGTGAGCAAGTGAGACAAGAATGAGGGAGAATTGGGTTTGCTACACATCTACTGACGCATTTTTAACACCTTAAATTTACTATAACTTTGGCAATCCAACTTTCAGAAATCCCAAATACCTTTGTTTCTAATTGAGGTGAAGTTGGTTTTATATTCACACATTCAGAATTTTTCCTTAATAATATAACTTCAGTAAAGTATTCTTTGCTAATACTAAATGGGGAAATCATATTAACAGCTCATGACTAGCAAAGCACAACACTGTTCACAGTCAGATAAATAGCGCAAATGTTCAAGTCATATTACATGTGATTTCAGACCGAATATCTGAAGTACCATGGTAAACAATATAGAGAGCTTGTCACTGAACGAGCGTGTGAATATAAAAATAAACTTCACTTAATGTGTTTCTAGGCTTCTTTTGTTACACCAATTTGTATCTGTAGACTAGATTTCAATTACAATACTTATTTTAAAAGCTGAATCTTTTATTTTTCTCTTACACAAATCAATAATTATTATTAATAATAATAATTATTATTCTATTGACCTTATTGTTTAGCCCTAGTTTGACGCTAACAAAGCAAAAAAAAAAAATAATAAATAAACAAACAAGAATTTTGAACAAGACTTCATTCAGTGTTTAGTTTTTTTTTTGTTGCAGAAATGTCTGCAAATTCATAACACTTTTAAATATTGAAACATTGCATTTAAAAAAAAGTGTAATAACAAAAATGTTTGCAGTTATTAATGTACGGTTACTCAACCCACTGGATAAGCAATCATTCATTATTTTTCACCGTGAGTATTTTTGACCTTATTGATGAGTACACTACTCACCTTGCAGTGATTTGAAAATCGGCAGATACGACAAAACGTGCGTCGTGATTGACTTCCGCTTAAAAAACGTAAACAAAACCCCAATGCCTTGGTTCCGCCGTTAGCGCGAGGCATCAAATACATAACATGTTGTCAATATTAGCACAAGATATACACACATATATGCAATCCTCCGTTATAATGCATGAAGCGACTGTTTGATTGTAGTAGTAAAGCAGGTGTTTTAGGACACAAACTCCAGCACGCAAGCTTTAGCCGACACATCCGTTTTCCAAACATTTAACGTTATTCACCACATTTAAATTAAGACATCTATATACATATACAAACTTCATCTTTGCATATCTATCTATAAATCAAAGCTATTTATTCGAGGTTAAATGTCGGGCATGCAGCGTTTGTAGTGACGTTAGATAAGCCGCCGGCTGACTCCTCAAGGACTTTCAATGACTACACTACTATTATTTATAGAACCCTAATATCAGTGTTTTCCCGCCTAATAGTTTAATAAATATATCGCTCCCACAAAAGGCAGTCCGCGTTTAAGTCAAAGAACAGACCACGAATGCAGTGAGTTTAAAAATGAGCTCTCACTCACCAGACACTCGCTATTTGGCCTTCTCAACCAGAACAGCGGACGACTGAGGAAATGCACATGCAGAACGCCGGAAGTGAGCTTTTTTTTTTAACAAAATAAGAGTTTACACTTTCTTCCCTTACACAAACATTAAACGCATACTAAAATTTAAAACAACTATTTTAAATAATAAAACAACAAATGAACTAAAATAATACGCAACAGGCTAATAAGACTTAATTCAATTACTTTGGGAAATGCGTCAATCTTTCAAAATCTTGTTTGCGTCTTTTTGTTGATATAACACCAGATAGGCTATGAGAAAAAAATCTGTTATAAAATGAACGAAAATAAAAATGAAATCAAGGCTTCCTGTTTAGCATGTTAGAGTCATTTCATAAAAACAAAAAAGTCGTTTGATTAAAATGTGTCCTATCTTATAATATAAAAATTAATTTGTTTACACTAATGTTTATATTACATATGCAATTCAATAAAATGTACTTCTAACACAGCTTTGATCCTTCAGTGTAAAAATTTTCCAAAACTTCTGAATTCTGGCATCATTTTGACAATAATAGGTTTAGACGAACATGAAGATTATGCCGTTTAAGTACTTAAAAGAGATTGTTTCTCTCTCTTTTATTAAAGGGCACCTATTTTACCCCTTTTCCTAGATTTAAGATAAGCCTTTTGTGCCTCCAGATTATGTCTATAAAGTTTCAGCTTATAACGCCCATCATTATATTTATTAAACCTTTCAGAAGTTTGTAATTTTCAGCTCTGAGCATCTTGTAGCTGTTTTTGAGGCCTGTGCCTTTAATCCATGTTCTTCCCGCCCACCGTTTCCGTGCCTGTCAGAGTGTGTCTAAGTCTTCGGTTGCGTCAGATAAACAGCACTGTGACAGACATGAAGGAAGCAGATCTCATGTAAAATTTGTGAAAAGTACTATCGTAAGAACTTTCCCAATGATTATTTGTTGTGGAATTAATTCAAGCCTTTCTGCAACGATGAGTCACTCACGATGTCATTACAAAGTTCACGCACTCACAAACACACACACAGCCAATCCGCTTGTTAAGTGTGACGTCACGCGAAGTGGCTTCCAAGCGGTCCAAGCGCTCTATTCAACTGTATGGGGAGACTCATGAAATGGTAATAATAAACGTTTACAAAGCTACTTTCGAATACTTTCAAAAATCACGATCGCAATATATATGTCCATGCCTAATATCCGATGGCCAGAAAGTGATTCATTTTTTTATAAATTGTTAAAATTTTGGTATTTGTTATGCAGCAAGCCCAGAGATTGTTGTGTACACTATGAGTTTATATAAAATTAACTTTAATGTGTGATAAGAATAAAACGTGATCATAAACGAATGATTTCTCCACTCAAATGAATGGCGGCTTGGACCCGGAAACAGTATTATATACATCACCAACACATCACCACTTAACAAGCAGATGTCTGGATGCAGCCTTTATGATGCAAGCTGAGATTGCATCACTCGTGATGCAGTCAGACACAATCCGCTCAATGGAGTGAGTGATGTCACTGTGACAGGTAGGGTTAGGGGTGGGGTTAGGTGAGCACATTAAAAAGCATCAGATGCAGCTCAGATTGCACTGCACCAGAGCTGCATCCAGACCCCTCTCCACACAGTGTGCACGTTTAACTGTGCACTGTTTTTGCACGACAAATGTGACTGGATACACGTTAATATCCACTGCTGTATGGATATCCGTTATGTTAATATACAAAACAAACCTGATTTAATGTCCACAAACTGAGATTGAAGCGTCTTCTTTTATAATTCTACTGACATGCAGCTGTGGAGATAAAGTAAAGATGGTAAAATCGCAGTAATTCATTACAAACATTTTAAAAATGATGATGATTGATGATCACAGAGCGCTGAACAGGTCTTTTAATCCCAGTTGCTTTGTGCACATCCTGTCTTGCTGATATGATTATACATATTGCTATTGAGACATGTTAATACGCAGCTGTCAGTCAATGCGGTGGGTGGGAAAACCGCACTCATACATCACGTTGCGGTGGGCCTCAAACTGGGAGTTGTATCCTATTTTACATCAGGAAATTTTAAAAAAGAGACTTATTGTGTTTCTATTACTCCAATATGTCTGTGGACACACTATACCTACACACAGTTCTGTCCAAACAGCTTACAAAAGATGATTCTCATCATAGGTGCCCTTTAATGCTCTGTTATAATCAGTCATTGATGCTGTACTGTGAAAAAAGCTGAATAGGTGTTTTATGGTTAAAGCTTAATGAAGCAGGATAAGTTTAATTGAAGAAAGCAGTGACGTCTGTCTCCACGTAATCACAGACTTCAGTGCTCTCAGTATCACATTTCCACCAAACAACCCAGTGTGAAGCTTTCCTTTTGATAACTGTCAGGATTATAGTCAGATCTCTGCTTCGCTGACAAAGTAAGTCAAACAGCTTTACCTGTGATGTTCTGTGAATGATATTATATGCCATTTTATTTATTGCAGCTTTTATTAAGCATTTCAGTATTAAGTTTTTACTTCTATATCGTCTTGTTTTAAGCTAAAGTTCTACTCATTTTATTTATTCTTTCAGTTACATTGGAAAATGAATCTTTTTTTATCTTGTTTGCGTCTTTTTGTTGTCATGACGTTAGATAGCTGAGACATATACACTAGATAACGTTTCTTAAGTCTACTAAATGTAACTTTAAATGGATGAAAAATAAAAATGAAATCCATTTAACAGATTATTCATTTATTTATTTATTTAATAATTAATATTTTTTTCTTTTTTAAAACGATTGAAAGCAATATTTAAATAGGCTACAATTTTTATCAAGGGCTTTAGTTAACATTATCAGTTAGCAATGTATATTTGCAGCATTGCTTAACCCTAATGTTTATATTTAATTAAAAGAATTGCTCAGTTTTGATCATTTTAGCTTTCACAGTGCATTAAAAAAGTTTAATCTGTATTAAGATTGTATTATTAAATGTAAAATTTAGCATTAAAATTAAACATTTATTTGTTTGTTTATTTAATCATTCAATTATTCATGTATTTTATGTGCCTTTTAAAACATATGAAGCTAATGTTTTATTATAAAGCTAACATTTTTAATGTTGCATTAGTTAACATTTTCTATAGCACTATATAATTGCAACATTGCTTAACCTTCATGTTATTTAATACCATTTTTTGGTTGGTTTTGCTCATTTTAGCTCACAGCACATTAAAAAACACAATTATGTATATTTAAATTGTATCATGAAATGTAGAAATTAGCATTTAGAAATTAACATTTATTTATTTATTTAATAATTCGTTCATTTTGCTATTCTAAAACACAAGAAAGTTCTATTTTAAATTATCTAACATTGTTATCAAGAGCATTAGTTAACATTTATGTTATAGTATATTTGCAACATTGCTTAACCTTTATGCTATTTAGTTAAAAGAATTTCTCAGTTTTGATCATTTTTGCTCTCACAGTGCATTAAAAATTTAATATTTCTATTAAAATTGTATTATTACATGTATAATTAAATTTATAATTAAATTTTATTTGCCTTTCAAAACATATGACGCTAATATTTAATTATAAAGCTAACATTTCATTAGTTAACTTTTTCTGTAGTACTATACATCTGCAACATTGCTTAACCTTTATGTTATTTTACAACTTTTTTTTCGGGTTTTGTTTATTTTAGCTCACAACACATTAAAAAACACAATTATTTATATTTAAATTGTATTAATAAATGTAGAAATTAGCATTAAGAAATTAAAACACATTTATTTATTCATTAATTAATTCATTTTGCTTTTCTAAAACATATGAAAGTTAAATTTTAAATAGGCATTGTTAACAAGAGTATTATACATTAAATTAAAAGAAATGCTCAGTTTTGATTATTTTAGCTTTCAGTGCATTAAAAACGTTTAATAAAAAATATAATATAAAATAATATAATAATATAATTGCTAATTTTTAATGCTAAATTTTACAATGTTTGTTTAAATATTCAATAATCAATTTATTTTATTTTATTTTTACAACATATGACGGTAATTTTTTATTATAAAGCTAACATTTTTTAACGTTGCATTAGTTAACATTTTCTATAGCACTATATATTTGCCACATTGCTTAACCTTTATGTTGTTTAACAACATTGTTTTTGCATGGGTTTTGTTCATTTTAGCTCTTGGCACAATACAAAATAAAAATTAGATTTTTTAATTGTATTATTAAATGTAGAAATGAGCTTTAAGAAATTAACATTTATTTATTTATTAATTCAATTGTTCAATTATTTGAAGATTTGAAGATATAGATCTATAGGAAGATTTATAATAAGGTCAAATTTGTTAAAACTGCACAACTGTATACTATTTGCAACATTGCTCAACATGTTACTTAACTACTTTATTTTCTCATTTATGTTCTTTTTAGTTTACAGTGCATTAAATTATAAAAAATGAATACAAATTTGATTTTGAAATTGTAAATGTCGAAAATATCATGAGTTTGAATATTGATTCAAAAATTTTTTTAAATTATTCTTATTCCTTCCAGTGAACACTTCAAATAACACAGCGGAATCAGAGGAGAGTTTTTTGTCTGCCTTTGAGAAGTCTTTACTCGCTCCTGTTCTCACCACTGAGATGGTATTTGGTGTTTTGGGAAATGCGCTGGTTTTGGTAGTCAAAGTTGTGGTAAGACTAATATATCATTTAGAAAGGCAAAACACTGCAGGTGAATAAGATTTAAAAAATGAACTCCATACTCCCTCAGCTGATTAATTGACAGATGTTTTTATAAAATGTTTAGATGTAAATGTTTAAATATAAAAACAAGGAACTATTAAGTCAAAAATGTGCTGATTTTTATACATTTCTAGCACAAAAATCAGAACATTAGATCACACATAAACGAGGGTTTTTTGTCATACACTCTCAAATAAAGGTATGCGAGCTGTCACTGGGGTAATACCTTTTTAAAGGGTACACATTTGTACCTGAAGGGTCCATATTGGTACCTCAAAAGTATTCATTAGTACCCACAAATTTTAAGAGGAACACTTTTGTATTTTTTAGGTACTAATATACCCTTGGGGTATTAATATGGACCTTTTGGGTTCAAATTTGTACTTTTCGAAAAGATACCACCCCAGTGACAGCTCGCATACTTTTATTTCTGAGAGTGTAGTTCAGAAGACCTGATTTTCTTTTTTCTTGTCATTTTTAAAATCAGTTAAATCAAGTATGAACAAATTCTTCTGTAAAAAACTTCAGAATATCAATATGAATAAGGTATATTTTGGTTTAAGGGGAGATTTAGTGCAGAACAAAACTAATTTTAAGAAATAAATTCTAATAGAAATTTACACTTGTCTACAATCTACACATTTACACTAGAGAAAATCAACAAAATTTAAATGACACAAAACTCTTATGTCCATCAATGTTTAATGTACATCTCTAAAAAGAATACAATGTCAACAAATAGGCATAAATGTGAAGTGTCATGCAGGGAATTTTAGGAAAGGCAGTTTACAGTTAATTACCATATTATTAAAGAAACTTCTACAGGTTTTACTGTTGAAATCACAGAATTTTTTTCACTGAATATTACTGTGACACACTGTTAGACGTTTTATTGTATTTGTTTGGTTACTTATACTGGCAGGACTGTTTTGGAAAGTTGCCGCAACTGCTCCTTTACAGTAACTTACAAGTAAATGTGTTTTACAGTAGCATGAGCCCTACCACAATTTCATTTTACAGTAAAACAGCTTTACCACATCTTCTTTTTATGGTGAAATGTCTTATACCACATTTGAGTTTTACTGTATAACAAATTTTACAGTACTTTTACAGTCACTTATTTACATTTCACAGTACAAAGCCTTTGTTTTTAGTATTTACTATATTGCATTCAGTATATTCCAAATTTTCATTAATGGTCTCATTTAGTTTTTAACTAGAGTAGCAGTACTTGACTACTTTGATAACAGTAGAATACCGCCAATTCCTAATATGCAGTAAGTCACTGTAAAAGTTATAAAGTGAAACACAAAACTGTAATGTACATCACTGTTTATACATCACTAAAGAGAACATGAAGTCAGCAAAAATGTCAAGTGTCATGCAGGAAATTTAAGTCAAATCACGGTTATTCACCGTAGTATCAAATAAACTTCTACAGGTAACTGTTTTTTACTGTTGAAATGACAGACATTTTTTACAGCATACTGAATATTAAATAGACACACTGTCAGACATTTTATTGTACTTTTGTGGTTACTTATACTGGCATCACTGTTGCAGCAAATTACCGTAATTGCTCCTTTACAGTAACTTACAAGTAAATGTTTTACAGTAGCAGGAGCCCTACCGCAATTTCATTTTACAGTAAAACAACTTTACCACAACTTCTTTCTATAGTGAATTGTCTTTTACCACATTTTAGTTTTACTGTATAACAATTTTTACAGTACTTTTACTGTCATTTATTTACATTTTAGCAGTACAAAACCTTAATTTTTAGTGTTTATTATGGCATTCAATATATTAACATTTTCATTAACGGCCTCATGTTTGTCTTCAACTACAGTAGCAGTCCTTGACTATTCTGATTACAGTAGAATACTGTTAATTCCTAATATGCAGTAAGTCACTGTTAAAGTTTTTAAATGACCCACAGTGCAGTGCATATTACAGTAGTGAACTGGTAAAGAATGCATGTGGTATTTTACTAGGTGTTTTTGCGGTAAAAAGAAAACTGTAAAATTGCGGTAAAGTCTAACAGTGCAGAAGAAGCACTCAAGAATGTATTTTGATTTTTTTCTTAACCTTAAACTGAAGAAATATCAAAACTGGATGTTTTCACCTGCAGTGTTTCGCCTTCATCTAGAAAGATTCACACACCAATGCTTTCATTTACTAAAGTTGTTTTTTTTCCTACAGTGTAAAGAGCATTTTGAGTGCCGATACTGGCTGCCGCTCTTCAGTCTCACGCTCTCGGATTTCTTGTGTTCTGTCCTCATCATCTGCGGCTCTCTGTTAGCAGTGCTGAGCGCCGGTCAGGTTTCACCGTGGTGTGAGGTGGTGAGTCTGCTGAAGTTCACCTTCATCACCTCCTCCATTGGAAGCTTAGGTACGACACTGAACTGTGGACTCAAGTGTTCATTACTTCTGTGGGATGCATGTCTAAACAAATACTGCTTCCTTTGTCATTAGCAATAAGGAGCAAATAAACAACCCTTTGTACACACTGAATGGCTGCAAGCAGGTGCACTGGACACAGGATATATTCTGATATACACTCAGAAATAAAGGTACAAAATCTGTCACTGGGGTGGTATCTTTAGGTATATTTTTGCTCCTAACAGATCATTGACGGTACAAATTAATACCTAAAAAGTATTTGTACATCACAGAAAAGGTGTAACCTAAAGGGATATCCACCTGGATAGTACAAAAGTGACAAAGAGTTTGTACCTTTAATTCGGAGAGTGTAGTGATTAAATAAGTCTTATGCATATATCCTGTACAGAAACATCGGCCACTTTATTAGGTACACCTTACTTGTACTGAGTTGGACCCACTTTTGCCTCCAGAACTGCCTTATTCCTTCGTGGCATAGATTCAACATGGCACTGGAAATATTCCTCAGAGATTTTGGTCCACATTGACATGATAGCATCACGCAGTTGCTGCAGATTTGTCGACTGCACATCCATGATGCGAATCTCCTGTTCCACCACATCTCAAAAGATGCTTTATTGGATTGAGTCTGGTGACTGTGGAGGCCATTTAAGTACAGAAAGTGGCCATTCTCCTCTGACCTCTGGGATCTACAAGGCATTTGTGCCCACAGAACTGCCGCTCACTGGATATTTTCTCTTTTTCAGACCATTCTCTTTAAAACCTAGAGATGGCTGTGCATGAAAATTCCTGTAGATCAGCTGTTTCTGAAATACTGCTTGATTTGAACTGCTGCAGTTCGCAGCTATATCACAGATATATAATATTAATACATATAGGGCAAAAAGTAAACAGGTTTAAAAAAAACAAACTTAAAAAATTATTTAAAAGGTTATTTTAAAATATTCTGAGAATCAGATAACTTTAATTAATATCTATGTATATTATTAATGTTGTCAAATATTAATGATATATGAATCAATTTCATCTCTTCTCCTCAGTTTGGGATTATTTGGGGATTTTTGTAAATAAATTAAATGAATAATAAATGGTATGTTTTTCTTCAATGTATGTTTTTTTAAAAGGTACACATTTTATTATACATTTTTAGTAAATGATGCCCCAACTAATATTTTCTCTTTGTTCCAAATTTGTTCACATGCAACCAAGATAAAGATTTATGTATTAATTTAAATGATTAGAAAGCAAAGCTATTCTGAATATTCTACTCCTTGATTACTCACAGTTAAATCATCATTTGTCCTCAGCTTGCTTTGTTTCTTATTTTATAAATGAATAATGGTTTATCAATATTTAATGAAGGCCTCTTTTTCTATTTGAATTAATTCGCATTTATATTTCTTTCTATTCTCTTTCTTGTCCTCAGCTCTGCTCTGTGTTCAGAGGTTTATAGACATCCCATCTAAAGGCACCAGACTGTCTGTGGTCATGGCGATAGCATGTGCAGCATCATGGGCCACTGGAACCATATTTGGAGCAGTGCCAGTAGTTTATGACTGGATAAAGTGAGCCCGATGTAGAATAAACTATATTAAAATGTGGATGCATCCATGATGAGAATAAACCGTGTATATGATGATGTGATCAGGTATGATTCGGCTGAAATGCTGTGCGCAGTCTTCTGGGAGAGCAGCTATTCAGACATGCTGGTTTACATCCTCTGTGCTTTCTCCATCTCCATCTTCATCCCGCTCCTCCTAATCTTCTCCTGCTCCATCCTCACGTGTGCAGGCTACAGGAAAGACTCCCGCAGGTCAGAAGCGGTAAACACAGGCGTTTGTATATTTCATTTTGGGCTCTTTATTATTAATGCGTATTTCCACATTTGTTGTGTTTGCAGTCGGGAAGACCTGTCCTCAATCACACCACTGCTGGTGATCGTCTATCTCTTCTGTTACGCTCCATTTGCTGCTTCTGAGGTGAGAAGAGCTTGTTTATGGCAATATTTAATTGCAAAAACATATTAATATCTTATTTTTGTATATTCATTTAAATATATTAGTATATTTTAATATAGCAGAACGGTGGCTTAGTGGTTAGCACTGTTGCCTTACAGCTAGAAGGTCGCTGGTTTGAGTCCCGGCCAGTTGGGGCAAGTTTTGGGCCAGTTGGCATTTTTGTGTGGAGTTTGCATGGTGTCTCCGAGATGAATTGGATAAACAAAACTGGCCATAATATGAGTGTGTGTTAATGAGAGAGTGTATGGGTGTGTCCCAGTGCTGGGTTGCATCTGGAAGGGCATCTGCTGCAGAAAAAATCTACTTAAATAGTTGGCGGTTCACTCCACTTTGGCGACCCTTGATAAATAAGGGATCAAGCCTAAGAAAAATGAATGAATTATTGTTTTAATATATTTTTGAGATTCTTAAGATAATACTTTTTTCAAGGTTATAGTTCTTATTCTTTAGATCCTACATTTTTAAAAGCAATAAATGGTCTATAAAACGATCTAGAGACCACAATTAAAGAAATATATCAGTCTTATTTTTCAGATTCTTTATATTTAAAATGTGAATAGTTCTTATTCTTTACATACTACATTTTAAAAACAGATAATAGGTCTTGTACTTTATACACTAAATTTAAAAAAGACAGTAGTTCTAATTCTTTAGATTCTAGAACATTTTTAAAGAATAACGGTTCTTTTTCTTTACACGCTAAATAAAAAAGAAAATAGTTCTTATCCATCAAAAAATAGTACAATTTTGAAGATACCAAACAGTTCTTATTTAACAGTTCTTAATCTATTTAAAGATTATAGTTCCTCTTCTCCATTCATTCACTCTTTTTCCTTCAGCTTAGTCCCTTTATTTATGAGGGGTCGCCACAGCAGAATGAACCGCTAACTTATCCAGCATATGTTTTACTCAGTGGATGCCCTTCCAGCTGCAACCCAGTACTGGGAAATACCCATACACAGTTCTTATTGTTTATTTTTAGAAGATAATGGTTTTTACTATTTAGATATAGTAATTAAAAAAGATAATAGTTCTTATTCATTAGATATAGTAATTATTCCTTGATTTCTTTTCGGCTTAGTCCCCATTATTAATCTGGGGTCGCCACAGCGGATTGAACTGCCAACTTATACAGCATATGTTTTACGCAGCTGCAACCCATCTCTGGGAAACATCCATACACACTCATACCTACGAACAATTAAGCTTACCCAATTCACCATCACAGCATGTATTTGGACTGTGGGGGAAATCAGAGCACCTGGAAGAAACCCACGTGAACACAGGGAGAACATGCAAACTCCACACAGAAACGCCAACTGACCCAGCCAAGGCTGAATTAGCTATCCTTTTGCTGTGAGGCGATCGTGCTACCTACTGCGCCACTGCGTCACCCAAGTTATAGTAATGAAAACTTTTTTAATAGTTCTTATTCATTAGTTATAAGATAATCATTATTATTAGATAGTCATTAATAAAAGATAATACTTATTCATTATAGTAATTTTAAAAAAGATAATGGTTCTTATTTATTAGTTATAGTATTTTTAAAAAAAGATAATAGTTCTTATTAGTCAGTGATAAATGATAATAGTTCTTATTCATTAACTATAGTAATTAAAAAAATGATAATAGTTCTTATTCATTAGTTATACAATTAAAAAAGATAATGGTTCTTATTTATTAGTTATAGTATTTTTTAAATAAGATAATAGTTCTTATTAGTCATTAATAAATAATAATAGTTCTTATTCATTATAGTAATTTAAAAAATGATAATAGTTCTTATTCTTTAGAAACTATAGTACATTTTATTTTGAACTCTGAAAAAGTTAATAGTTATTATTTAGACAGCACATTCAAAAAAGATATGAGCTCTTGGGGACTTTAAAATCTTTAAATGATATGTACTAGTATTCAAATATTAAGCAACTGGCCAATAAATGAGTATTTAAACTTAATGTCAGTACCATGAATATACATAACAGTGCAAATAATACCATGACATTTTAAAAGGGCTTACTATAAGCCATTAGTGTTCTGATCTGTGTGTTTTTAAGAGTCTTTATGTCAGAGGCTCTACTGGATGAGTTTTTCCCTTAACAGTTTTTTGTTCTTGTTGTCCTGTTAGTTGGTTCTTCTTGGCAGGCTTGATCTGTCCCCGTCTCCAGCCTGGCTGCGGTCACTGTCGTCAGTAATGGCGTATCTGGACTGTTGTCTAAACCCCTTCATCTACCTCACAAATAAAGACTTCCGGCGAGCAGTGCTCATTTTGATGTGGCACAGAAGGAGAGCTACTTTTCCAGAGCCGGTGCTCACTGGCATTACAAGGATTGAACTTTGAGGATTATTAACATGCATTACAATATTTGATTTGTTTTTGTGAAAAAAAAAAACGATAAAAAATAATAATAAAAAATAATTACTGCATTTTTTACATTGATTTACAAAAGACAGCCATGTCATTCATTGTAAAAACTTTTTAAGGCATTTATTTAAGTGCCATTTGACAACATGTATTAAAATACTCATTTATATTAAAACACTGCCATTTAAGGATGACAGATCAGCCCCAAAATACAAATTATTCAAAAACTTATACTTTGTCCTTCAAAACAATAGATTTAACCTATTTGTTTACCCATACGATAATTTTCTCTCAAGTATTTAATAAATATAAAGGTTTAATTTGTATATAAAAATGCAGCATGGCAATTAAAGATATTTTGACATTTTATTTTCACAAATAAATTACAATCATTTTAGTTTCACTAAATTAGCTTTCTCATTAGATCTATAGACACAAACACTTGACCCCAAAATAAACAACAGTTGGAAGTTCTTAACTAAGGACTTGTGTGTAGACCTTGTACTTCAATTTCCGTAGAAATGGAGAGAATACTGAGAAACTGACCAGAGTTCAAATCTGATCTGAATATCATTACATTATTTCACATTAATTGCAAAGTTTCAGTCTGTTTGGATCTTCATTAAAGGAATAGTTCATCCAAAAAAATAAAAATTCTGCCAAACTCATCCACCATTTGTTCAAAACCGGTTTCTTTCTTCTTTTGAATATAAAGGAAGATTTACTGAAGAGTAGGCATGGGCCGGAATAAGATTCTGACGGTATGATAACCTTGGCTAAAAATATCACAGTATCACGGTATTGTGATTACTGCTTTAAAATATGCTCTTTTTGAAATGTTTGGGTAAAAACAAAAACATTTTTCTCTTTTGAACACAAAATATTTCATTTTTAAAAAACATTTAAGATATTTTGGAGCAGTAAACATGTCAGGCTAAATAATTCAAATAAATCATTGACTTCTGTTGTCTTCATTTATTTCAAAAACAGATATTTTTACAATTTAAAGTGGCATGTTTGGAGATCTCTGCTGGAGATACTATTTTTCCTTACAAACAAACAAACAAACAAACAAAAAAAAGTGAATAAAAAACAAACACATACTATAGGAACGGTATTGCAGAAAATTTTAGTGGTTTTAAAATCTTGACGTTTCCAAACCCTGGCATACTTTGATAAGTTATGGTCCCATGCCTACTGAAGAGAGCTGCTGGAAAAAAAGCAGCAATTGACTTCCATAGTATGTTTTGTTACTGTGCTTTTCTCCAAACTCAGTGCAGGAGAGTTTAGCGTCAACCCTAATCACACACACCTGAACCAGCTAATCAAGCTCTTACTAGAAACTTCCTGGCAGATGTGTTGAACCAAGTGGAGCTAAACTCAGCAGGACCACGGTGCTCCAGGACCGAGTTTGGACACCCCTGTCCAAGTTTAGTATCATTCGAGTTTAAGTATAGCATGAGGAAATGTTCATTTTTGGGTGAACTACCCCTTTAAAATGATGACCCGCTGGTTTTGCGATTGTGTTCACAGTGATAATTACACATCTGTATTCTGTAGTAATATAGCTACGTGTGTCAGTGGCGTGACAAGCTAATAAGTATTTGTTAATGCAAAGTTAATTGTCTTCTAAGTACTCTGTTCTCATTAAATGTTACAAAAGAGCATTTATGAAGAGCGTTTGTGTGCATTTTCACTGAGGCGCGTGAGAAAGCAAAAACTGTAATGAAACTGCAGAATGTCGCAAACTTTGGACCAGAAATGACCGGTGAGAGTCTGAAACATCCAATACTCGGCGAGATGATGATCCAGAAGCTTCAAAATCACGAAACCGGCGCAGGAGAGCAAAGCCAAGCAGAAGTAGCGCATGGACGCAGAGTCTCCGTGTTTGAGCTGCGCGCGGACGCCTGCAAACGCGGCGGAGGCGATGTGGAGACCCAGAGCCGCCTCAAAGCCCCGGGGGTGCAGGAGAGACAGCCCGTAGCTGAGCAGAGAGCACGACTCCACCATTAAAGCATAGCGAGATGACCAACCCTTATCAATCACTTGACACCACACCAGCACCCATGCAAAAATAGGTAAAGTGAACCACTGGTCCAGGACGGAGGGCGCGCGCCGCAGGGTGGCCAGGCGGATCCACTGCACCGGCCCGTAGGCCAGCGCCATCAGCGCAAACACCTCTTTACTGTAGGCAGCCGCTCGGTTGCTCTTACCATCCGGCATCCGCTGCAAGAGCCAATAGATCGCCAATAATATGTAGCCTACGTTTATCAGGCAGTTAAACGGCATGGCCAGGAAGGCAGGGAGGTTGTCGACTTTCTTCTCCGCGTAGTGATCATAACTGACGTCCACCAAAACTTTGTCGAAAATATGAGTGTTTGCGAGCGCAATGCAAAGCAGGAAAGGTATGAGAACGTGGACGGCAGCTGACAGGGTCATTTTCAGATGAATTAGAACTTCTGTTTCAGCGACTGTACGAAAACACGTGGAGTATTGTGTACAAAGTATCTGTGACAAAGTACACGCAAGGCTGTTTCCGCAGTCTAGACCACGTGATGGCCAGTAGCGCCCTTCATTGGTTGACAGTAGGCTACAGTAGCTTTAGTGCCGATTGACAGCTTCCTAAACAGTGTTCACTGAGCAGGGGAGATCGTTTGAAGTTCGATTATCTTGATAATATTAATTTACTCATGAATAACTATATGCAAGTTACACCTTGTACTATTTAAAGGGGTAGTTCGCTCAAAAAATGAACATTCTGTCATCATTTACTTACCCTTCACTTAATTCTCACAAACCTGATTGATTTTTCTATTAAACACAAAATAAGTCATTGTGAAAAATGCTGGAAACAACAATTTACACCTGTAGTATTTGTACCACGGAAGTGTGTTGTATTACAAGTTTTTAGCTTCCCTCAAAATGTGTTCAACAGAAAAAAATTAAAGTCAAAAAGCTTTGTAACCACTCGAGGACGATCAAATAGAGAGAAATTATATATTTTTTGGTAATCTATGCCTTTAAAATATGAGCTAAAACATGCCTAATGTTAAAAATTAAAATGTGACTTCAAAATATTTAAACAAAATATTCCTCACTGTGCAGCTTTACATATTTTGCTTTGCTAAACACAGAGCATCCAGAATTCAACACTGCCATATTGAAAATGCACTGTTTTTACTCCAGTATAAAGATCAATCAGGGACTGTTGTACCACAGATTTGGATTGGTCTCAGATTCACAGCTCTTGCATTAACAATTAACCTGTGACTGTAAGCATGTGCTGGTAACACCTACAGTACATAAATAATGATGTGGTTCATTCATTCATTCATTTTCTTGTCGGCTTAGTCCCTTTATTAATCTGGGGTTGCCACAACGGAATGAACCGCCAACTTATCCAGCATGTTTTTTACGCAGCGGATGCCCTTTCAGCTGCAACCCATCTCTGTGAAACATCCACACAACCTCATTCACGCACACACTCATACACTACGAACATTTTAGCCTACTCAATTCACCTGTACCGCATGTCTTTGGACTATGGGGAAAACCGGAGCACCCGGAGGAAACCCATGCGAACGCAGGGAGAACATGCAAACTCCACACAGAAACGCCAACTGAGCCGAGGTCCCAACCAGCGACCTTCTTGCTGTGAGGGGACAGCACTACCTACTGCGCCACTACGTCGCCCCAATTAATAATGATGTGCTAATATGTAAACTAAACACTTCTTTATTATGAATTAATGATAAATTAAGGCGAGCACTAATCATGAACTAACTTTAACTACAACATGAGTCCTAAGAGTTCATGTGTGAATAACAGCCACCTTTATTACTCGTAGGTACATGCTAATTAATGTATTAATTAACATTCAAGTTTATGCTAAATGTAACTAATATAAACTCACGAGCTGTTGATGTATAATTATGTCATGACTTTACTTGGAGGGGCACATCACCATTCATTCATTTTTTAAGGGCCATGAAGCCCTCATGTCTCAGCAGGGTGTTTTCACACCTCTAGTTTGAAAAACGTCAGGAAAATAGGTGAGTCCTGCTTTGTATGGTGGGAGTCGCAAGTGGCAAAAGAGGGAAGGGTTTGCGTGAAAAGGGGAGTTTCCTTATGTGCGCTACAGCTGATTTTTACACCGGCAACACAAACACAGACGCAGAGGAGAACGACAGTGATTTCGTTTACATGGACATCAGTATTCAAATTTTTTTTGTCTTAATCTGAATTAGCCAATATTAGGATTAAGGTGTTTACATGAGTTGCTTTTTGAATGTTTCGTTCATGGTCCTGTTTTACATGTTATAGCACATAATTTAATTAGTCATTGCATCACCGCACTATTTACATTTCCTCCAGAGTTTCATGTTTCATTCTTAAAGTGTCAACTGCAGTTTGGCATTTTCACTTTTATTCAGAAACATTTCATGCAAGACAAATGACATATTGGATGCGAGCAACTGCAGGAAGAGTGTTGTTTTAGTGGAATTTTTGATACCGCACGCCTAATAGGAGAAAAAAAAACTCTGCATTTCACGGTAGATGCAGACACTCAGTAGGTGCAGACAGTCGTGCATTGACTATCCTGTCACAAAATGCGGCGAAAATCCAACACGACGGTAATAGTTTGATTAAAGTGTTTACATGTTTACTTTCGGAAAGCAGCATTTACTGCAGATCTTTCAGTCCATAATATTGTAGTGATATTATCGTACTGTAAACTTAGTAACTAAATCATTTTGAATAAGGTATGTTTTTAAAAACTCAGAGTACTGCTGACGATACTAACTAACTTTGCCATCTGAATAAACAGAAACAAAGAACACTTGCTACGTCCCAGTCTGCATACTATCCATCCTAAATAGTATTTAAATATAGAATTAGCATGTCCCAAATCAGAGTATGTTGAAAAGAGTAAGTCATAGGTTCCCGGCTGGTTTACTATTTCCAGTCAAAATTTTAAGTGTAGAACCGTCCACACTCTAACCGCTGACATTGCCCACAGTACATTGTGCGTTGGATGTGAATTCGATTAGAACTACAAACGCGGGTGAAAAGACACGTGAGACCAACCGTCAAGCAGAGAGGCAGAGTGGAAAGCATGAGATTCCTGTGATGCTCCGGGGAAAAACGAGTCTGCACTGAGGTCCAGCATTTTCCAGCCTTTGGCGCCTAGACTGCAGCTCTGCACAAGAAGTTTGGCCGTGTAGGAGAAATGGTCGTGCCCAACCGAGCCTGCTTTCTCTTGAGGTTTTTTAATTCTTCGCTTTTGCCAATTGGTGAAGTTTTTTCATCGGTGCTGTCGACCACTGGCTTGCATGGTTTGGGATCTGTAGAGCCGCGCATCGATAGATTTGCTCTTCAGTGTTTGGACTCTCAGTAGTGATTATTAAACCACTCTGAACTGAGCTAAACTGAATTGAAACACTGAAAACTGGACTGATACTGTTTTAATTTACTATGATCTTCTATGTGAAGATGCTTTGACACAATCTTCACTGTAAAAGCGCTACAGAAATAAAGGTGAATTGGATTATTCATGTACTGTTATTGAAGTGTTACCATGTGTCCGTCTTTGAAAGTTGAGCATGAGTGAGATTTGATGAATAAAGTTGAAGTGCCGAAATTAACTGGAAAGTCCCGGAAGGAATTCATTAGATCACTGGACTTACCTGTTTTACAAGATTTTTTTTTGACAAATGTACTTTACTTTTGGCTGGCGATTCTTCTCTGGGGGGACGAAAAGATTCTTTGGCACTTTATCTGAAGTGTTTTCTTGAAGAAATGTTCAATTGTTTCCTGTTTACTTGCGGACTCCCCAGGAATGACTGGAATTTACTGAGTCTACTTAATGTAAAAAGAAAAGTAACAGCATAAAGACACATTTAGCTGCAGGCATTGTCAATATAATATTCTACAATGTACCTGCCTCCATATAGCATTGCATCCATTTTGAAATATAAAAGACATCCTACATCAATCCAATTAATGCAGAATATAACACTGGAACACACTGGTGTGTTTATATACCTTTAATAGGTCATGGTTGGAAGAAGAATGGATTGGCAGATAACATTTAGAGAACAGGTTTTGGCAGTACTGAAACATAAGACTAAAGGAATGTAAACGTCAGAAAGAAGGCAGTCTGTGTCAAAGAGAAGAAGGAACAGACACAAAGTGCTTCACACAGACTGCACTACTGTTTTACAAGAGTTATTGATAACAGATGGAAGAAAAGAGAGACTCGAGTTTTCATTTTAAACAAATAAAGCAATTTTGGAGATGAAATCATGACCAAAGATGAGAGACCATGGAGGAACAAACAGCAAAGGTATGAGGATTATTGGCCTATAGTTGATATAGATGTTAAAGTAAAATTTTCATATTCCTGTAATTTTAGAGTGAAGAGAAACAAAACATGGTATATAAGATGAGTAAGTAAAATCTGTTGAGGGCAGCACGGTGGCGGAGTGGGTATAGCATGATTGCCTCACAGCAAGAAGGTTGCGGGTTCGAGCCACGGCTGGGTCAGTTAACATTTCTGTGTAGAGTTTGCATGTTCTCCCCGTGTAGGTGTGGGATTCCTCCGGGTGCTCCGGTTCCCCCCTCAGTCCAAAGACATGTGCTATAGGTGAATTGAATAAGTTAAACTGGCCGTAGTGCATGTGTGTGAATGAAAGGCTGTTTCTCAGTGTTGGGTTGTGGCTGGAAGGGCATCCGCTGCTTAAACATATGCTGAATAAGTTGGCGGTTCATTCCGCTGTGGCGACCCTTGATTAATAAAGAGACTAAGTGGAAAAGAAAATGAATGAATGAAAAATCTGTTGATAATATTCTAACCTATAACAATGACAAAGTACAGGAACTTAAAATTGAAAAAAAAAAAAAACGTGAAATCACAAATGTTATTTTGTATGGCATATCGCTGAAAGTAAATTGTGCAGGTCTTTTAAAAATGCATTTGTCCTAATTACTGTAAATTTAGTAAATTAAAATAATGACACGTGAATGCGGGACAACCTGTCACTCACATAAAATGGACCAGTAGCAAACTACGAAACAGTCAATATTAGATGGACAAAAATCAAACCCCATCTTATATTTTACCTTGTCTGAGAAGCACTTTTATTCACTTTGTACTTTTCCAAATAGAAAAGACCCCCTTTTTAAATTTTCTTTGGATGATCAATGGTTGTCTACAATCTAACGTATTGTTTTGCTAGTGCTGTTGCAGATGCTAAACTTTCAGAAAAATGAAAAGGAAAACTATTTCCATTTCTAGTACATCAATGTTGCTTAAATGCACACTTAATTATACATATAGTGGGGGAAATAAGTATTGAACACGTCACTATTTTTCTCAGCAAACATGTCTTAAGGTGGTGTTGACTTGAAATCCTTTCATGTTGGTAATATTAATAAAAAAAATTTTATGCAAAGAAAACAAAACTAACTAGTTTACTAATGAAGTTATGTGTAATAAAATGAAATGACACTGAACACACGAAGAAAGGGAGGGGAAGAAAGGCAGTGAAAGCCCAGACAGCAGATGAAATCTTTCAGTAGTTCTTCAGCAACCCTCTGCCCTTCATTAGTGTAATTAATGTTAGCTGCTACAGTCCAACATCTACATTAGCAGGATGAAACCAGAGTGGACATTTCAGCAAAACAATGATCCAAAAGCCAAGGAAACTCTCAAATGGTTTCAGTGAAAGAAAATCAAGCTGTAGAATGGCCCAGCCAATCACCTGATATGAATCCAATAGTAAATACAAAGTAAAGCTCAGTCCTGATAGACGAGACCCACAGAACCATAGAGATTTTTATACTCTGTTGAAGTCTGTGAAAAACTCACACTGAGCAGTGCATGTGACTTCATGCATTCATCAGAGGCGTCTATAAGCGTACATCACCAAAAAGGCCTTTTATATAAGGTGTTAAATACATTTCAGTAGTTCAGCACTTTCTTCTTTTGTCATTTCATTGTTGTTACAATCTCATTTTTCATATTTTTTTTGTTTTGTTTTATTTATTTATTTTTTGCTTTGTTTTATTTTTGTTTTTTATGTTTGTTTAATTTGGGTTTTTACCGAAATCTGGGATTATACCACACATATCACGTTAGAGATAACTGTTGTTTCATACAGACTTCAATACAGCTAGTGCAAGGTGAATAATGCCATAAATAATATAAATAATAAGAACGTCTTGTGTCTCTTTTTTGCAGAGTGATGCAAAGGATGGTCAGCTGAACCATATCCCGTTTTTTCAATCTGTGCTGAAGAAACGTCCAAAAGGGACTTTCAACAATCCCAAAACAGATAAACTCCCAGATACAGAAGGATACTCTGAAGGATGTTCAATAAATAAACGGAGTAAAGATTCGGATAGCACGGGCAGAACTTGTGGTGATGAGGAACAGTCACGTTCTGGCACATTTAATGTGTCTGAGTCAATGCCGAGTGAGGCAAGTCAAGGTCAGCGAAGTGATATTCCACTCCTGGAGTCTATGCTGAACAAGCTCATGATCCAAAAGGAGAGAGCCAACCATCACTCAACAGACAGACCACGTGTGCTGACAGATAAGACCTCTAAAAGTATGTTTCACCACTCTGTGGAGTCTTTAACAAATGAAGACAGGAGTGATTTTGATTCCAAAGTCAGAACTGATGGCGATGAGAAAAAAACAGCCAGGAGTTCTGACAGAGAAGATGGAAAAGAAGAATCCAAAGGGGCTCCAGAGGAGTTTCCTAAATGGGAGAGAAGGATTTTCAGCTCTGTTCCTTTGGCATTGCTAACTAAGGTGGCAGAGTTGAAAGAAAGTAAACTGGTGGAGGTCAAAAACAACAAAGACCCTAGCATGGTCGAGGACAAGTCTGAAGCTGCATTATTGTTGGACGAACCATCTCAACAATCATCAGCACCAAATCCTGACCTTTCATTTTCCTCAGACAGAGCTGACTTTGCACAGACTAAAACTGAAGTACTTGATGAGGCTTGCTCTGGTTCTTCTAATACAGTTAGCATGGACACAAGCAACGCTCAGACTGCTAAAAAGGTAGTAGGAAGGACAACAAGATCTGCTTCAGAGCCAGTGAGCACCAAGCCTAAAGAAGAGAGACCACTATCAGCCCCGAGTGCTTTAAACTCACAGGAATTTGACAACTGTGCAGATATAATGACACCGAAACACTTGAGCAAAGCAGCTGAGATTGTAACATTGGAGAATTCAGGTATGACAGAACAAGATAACTCGCTCGCCAAAACACAGAAGAAAGGAGTGAAACACAAGATGAAGAATTTTACTCAAAAACTGAAAGAAAGGTTTAAAGAAAAGCAGGATTGTGAGCAGAACACAAGTACGAGTGCAGAAGACAACGTGGAGGAAGAGGAACAGCCTGTATGTATACTTCCTCATAGTTCAAAGGCCTGACAGATCTTTTAAATGAATAATTCACACTAAACTGAAAATTCTGTCTTCATTTACTCTCCTGCACTTGTTCAAAACCTGTTTGAGTTTCTTTCCCCTGTTGAACACAAAGTAAGATATACTGAAGGATGTTTACTGGAAAAAGCAGCTATTGACGTCTATTCAATCATGAGGAAATTTTCTATTTTGGGTAAACTATCCTGTTGAGGCCCCAATCTACTCACAAAGACGTTCTATCTTTCCTGCTTTCCTCAAACTTATAAAAATATGTTGTTTTTTATCAGAGTTATTGTGCTGTTTGAGTAATAGTCTCTCAGTACAAACAAAAAAGACGGCGAGAAAACAACAGTTAAGAAAGCATCTGATTATGGCACTTATGAACTCTGGGCACTTCAGCCTTAAAGTCTTTGTTTTTTAAAGTTTCACTTTACACTACAGATTTCTTTAAAACAAACAGCTTTACAGTATGAAAAACAATACAAGGGTTCGTATAGTTTTTACTATAAAACAGTTATTCAGTGCTTTTACTTTTGTACTTCTGACCTTGACGACTGAACGGAAGTTAACTAGATATGATCGCTACTTTCCAAATGAGATATATACAGTATGGCCTTCTGAAGGGCCCTTCAGAAATGAAAACATAAGAAGTGTCCTTCCAAACCAAAGGGGTAAAAACTGGCCACATCAGAATGAAGGAATTTGAAGGGTACAACTGAAGGACACTTCAGGCCCTGATACAATCCTTGGCGCAGGAAAGTTGTTTGGTGTCGGACAGCAAGTTAAAATAAGGCTCATCCCTATGCCACAATCCCTTTGAAACTGAAACTCTAGTCTGGAGGGTAAACCCTTCGAAGGGTTGAGGGCGGGGTGCCCAAACTTGGTCCTGGGGGGCCGGTGTCCTGCAGAGTTTAGCTCCAACTTCCTTCAACACATCTGCCTGGAAGTTTCTAGTATATATAAAGAGCTTGATTAGCTGATTCAGATTTGTTTAATTGGGGTTGGAACTAAAATATGCAGGACACCGGCCCTCCAGAACCGAGTTTTTGCACCCTGGTTCAGGGCATAGGAATGAGCCCTTCAGAATGGAATGTAGTGACTGATTCTATAGTAAAGAAGGTGAAGTCACCGAGCCATGCCTACCTATTACATTGAACCAAAGGTAGCTTGAATTTCTCTGGAAAGTGTGAGTTGACTAGCTGTGTTTTAATGAACTAAAATGAGCTTCAGTTTTGCATGATTTTAGTATCAAATGACCTGTTCATCCTTCAAATTCCATTTCAAAGTATATTGGGGCCTTTACATTATGAACTATTTGAATGACAGCTGTAAACTTTTTTTGTTAGCTGATATTTCAATTTTCCTCTTGTTTATTTCCACCTAACTTAAATCTGAACTATTCTCCATGCAGATGGAAGCTGAGGATCCAGACATTCCACCACCTCTCCCAATGAAAAAGGGAAAATATGTTATCTTAGACAGGTGTGATATGCTAGACATATTTCAATACTCAACTACCACACTTACATTTGCATCCCTGTACTTATTAAAATCTGTTTAGTTCACATTTATTGGTAAGACTTTGGACATTATATCAAGTTGCTTTGTAAACATTGTGGGATTTTTGCTAAGTACAATGCAATCCTGGATTAACACCTATGTTGATCCTTAAACATAATTTTTGTTCAAAAATTTAATCCGTACTTAATCCCTACCCCTAAACCAAAACCTAACTGTAAATTATTCCAAAAATTAGAGGGGAATAATAATTGGATAACAATCATGTAGAAGCACATTACCCTAACTGTAAGCCTAAACTCAACATAAACTCTAAACTTATCCCTTAATTCCGATTAGCTGATTAGAAAGTTGTTTCAGGATCAACACAGATGTAGAACATGTCCTAATTGGTAAACCTTACAACCACATGTCAGCTAGCAGTCATTAGCGTAACAGTAGTCTGCTCAAAAATGCAGCATGTCATTTTCGCCACTAGAGGATGCATATTCACAACAAACAAAGACATACTTTGATAATGCCATGATTTAATGTGGAATTTTAGGAAGTTGTAGCCTCGATACATCCTACAGGACTCCTGCAGAAATAATGTTCATGAACGTTGAACATTTACATTTTTTTAAAAAAAACTTATGTTATTATGAAGAGAGTAAGGCTAAACCTGTCAAATCGAAACAAGACCACTGAAGAAACTGCTGACTCTACTGGTTTTTTAAGCTAAGCTAAAAGTGCTCCCAAAGAAAAACATGTACTAAAAACATTACTAGAATGAATGCTCCAGTATCAGCATAGGTGCAGAAGATGTCCTACTTTGTGAAATCACACCAACCTTGCAAGCACAGGTCAGCTAGCAGTCTTACCGTACGTTCACACCGAAAGCGGCGAGAGTGTCCAAGGTCGCTCTGGCCGCCCTGGCGACAACGCTCTCTGCCTTCAGCTCCTGCGGCGAGAGCGTCAAAACTCGCTACATTGATCTCGTATTTAAAGGAGCCGTTGCAGCATATCAGTTACATTCCTGCATAAAACATGTTTCTAGCGTGAAAATGTTGCGCACTTCTTATTAAATTCATACAACAATGGAAGATCAAGTTGTGTGTGGTGTGGCTTTGCTCTATTTATCCAATATGTGTCCATATGTCTGAAATATCCTGAAGCAGCAGTACTGTTTTGTATCGTCACATCGCGTGAGATTCCCGCTTTTTTAAGATAAATTTATATAACATTAATGAATATCAGTAAGTGGCCAGTAACTTATTTAATGTATGTTCCTGCAGGAAAAAATTGGAAATAATTGGAAATCCGGCGACCGCAATAATCAAACCCTTGGGAACAACTATGGTCGGAACCAAAGTTCACAGGTCTGTGTTCTCTGAACTGCTATCAAGCGATGGACGACTTCATTCTGATTGCTTGCCGCCGAACCGCGTCATAGCTCATTACCATAAAGTTGACTTTATTTCAACTCTCCTCGACGCTCACGCCGGCGAAGACGCGCCGCGCTGCTCCTCGCCGCTTATCGCCGCCGGCTCTCATTGAAAATGAATGACTTCCGGCTACTTTGACGCTGTCGCCGCTTTCGGTGTGAAAGTACGGTTAGTGTAACAGTAGACTGTCTGCTCAAAGACACATTTTCACCACAATATGATGTGTACTCACAACAAACGGTGTAATCTGATGATGCCATAACTAAGTCTTTGATAACTCTTTGGTAATAAGTAAACGAGATGCTAATGATCTAACCCACAGGTGTCAAACTCAGTTCCTGCAGGGCTGCAGCTCTGCACAGTTTCATTCCTATTCAAACACACCTGATCAAATGAATTGAGTGCTTTAGGCTTGTTTGAAACCTACAGTGTTGAAGCAGGGCTGGAACTAAACTCTGCAGGGCTGCAGCCGTCCAGGAATTAACTTTGACACTCCTGATCTAACCCATTCAATGATATATGCTAATCTAGGCTAAGCTAAAAGGGCTCCCAGAGATTGGGTGAATAGATTCCAAAATGGTGAAACTCAACTGTTTATCTCTAGGACATTTGTAAAAGGCGACCATTTCTAAACAGTGAAATGTTCCTTTAACACTCTTTTCCTCATTTGAAATATGCTTTGTTTCTTCGACTTCCTTATGAGTAGCATTACTCAGTCCATCTATTTATAACTCGCATTTCCCACATCTAGTTGTGTGGCATTCCTTTTATATGAAGTGATGGAAGAAATCAAACACAAACATGTTTGTAGTAGTAGAGATCTGTTACTGCTGACCCCTGAAACAGTTAATCTGCTCAAAAGAGCCTCCAGACCAGGAAATGTGTAGCCTACGGTAATGTCTGCAGTTCCACACGCAGCGCGTTGTTAGTTAAAAATCACTATTTCATCATTTAAAAGGAGAGCTCAGTCAAAAATGATGTTATCATTTATTCATTATCCACAAAGGAAGATATCTTGAAAAATGCTGGAAATGAGCAGCTATTGACAGCCATGCTATGTTTAGTTCCTACAGATGTCATTGGTTGGTTTTTACAAACATTTATCAGAATATCTTCTTTTTTGTAAACACTTAGAACATCTCGAGTTTGAGTAAATGATAAGGAAATTGTCATTTTTGTGGGGGTGAATTCCTTTAAGGCAAACTTTTTTGACTACCAGTCGATTCAGATATTATCACTCGTTTGAATGGGCATTATCAGTGTTTTTTAGCTGATAGATATGGGCCAGTAGGGTTGTTTTCATGGTTAATCACCTATAGATCACATACTTAGATGTTAACAAGCATATATAATTTTTTAAATTTCCCATTAATTGTATTTTATTAACGTCTAAACCTACCCCAAACCTAAACCAACCCAGGCTCATTGTGGAAACGCAGTCCCGTGGACGTTTCTGGAGACCGCGGGATACGTCCCGGCGGGTACGTACAGCTGCAGTTTTTGTTTTTGCGAATCCACGAGAGGCCGCTGTTGTGCGCTTTTTGGCACCTCAGATGCCTCTCGCGAGTGCGGTTCGCGCCCGCGCCCGCGCCGTTCTCGCGTGAACCCACCAGAGGCCGCTGTCCGACTGACCGGATAATTGACTGCGCGACCGGCCAATCGGCCGACCCGCCCTCCTCTTTCCCTGAACCCAACCAATTTTACCAATCGATCCGCCCATTTTTGCTCCGCCACATTTACATTATTTACTACTTAAATAATAAAACTCGTTTAATCTGATAAGAATCGTTTTTCAATATATTTGTTTAATCTAATATATTTTTCCATCTTTCTAAACAGAAAATTTACCTTAAGAGACTTCAAACTCAATATTGAACCTATCAACCTAATGGAGGAAATATTCACAGGAGACGAATGGCTCAACTACTTGCCTAGTAAAAGCAGTTTGGATGAGAAAGATACTAGTGATCAGTCAATCTCGTGTGATCTTTCCAAACTAGAAACAGATAATCAGGTCGGCGTACCTGAGCCAATACCAGAACCGGACCCACCAGAGGACATAAAGACCACTCAGGACAGTGTTGATGATGTTCAACAAGAGGAAGCTGCAGAAGTCAACAGTCATGCACGAGTAGCACGTGTAGAACGAGTTGAATCAGATGCAAGTGTTTTTGCCATCCCAAAATCACTTCTAACTAATAATGCTGTTAAACAGAAGACAGACTGTGAGTCAAAGAAATCAGATGACATCTATGACTGTGTGGAAATCTATATTCTTCCCAAAAATGACATTCCAATAGCGAAAAGGAAGGCATCAGAAGTTAATCTGATAGACTTTTCAGCAATTAAGGTGGGGAACACATTTTTTATAGGATTTATTATGAGAAATTACTATGGAAACCCGTTCATGCCACTAAATAATACAAAATTATTAATTAATAAAACAAAAAAGTCAGAACTCAGATTATTAAAGTCAGAATTCCTGGTCCTTAAGTTAGAATTCCGAGTTCTTTTTTCTTTTTTAGTATTTTGAGTTATAGTCGCAATTCTGAGTTATAAAGTCAAAATTTTGAGTTATAAAGTCAGAATACCGAGTTATAAAGTCAGTATTCCTAGTTATAAAGTCGCAATTCTGAGTTATAAAGTCAGGATTCCGAGTTAGTAAGTCAGAATTCCGAGTTTTAAAGTCAGAATTCTAAATTATAAAGTTAGAATTCTAAATAATAAAGTCAGAATTCTAAATTATAAAGTCAGAATTCCAAGTTTAAAGTCGCAATTCTGAGTTAAAAATCCAGAATTCCGAGTTATAAAGTTGCAATTCTGGGTTCTTAAGTCAGAATTCTGACTTTTAATGTCAGAAATCCGAGTTATAAAGTCAAAATTTTAAATTATAAAGTCAGAATCCTGAGTAATAATTTGTAATAATAAAGTATAATTTGTAAATATTTTTACTTATTTATTATGCAGTGGCAGGGACGGGCTTCCATAGTAATAACTTAGTATAACATGGAATAAATTCATGAAAAAATATTTCTCCAGTCGTTCGCATTGTTGGACAACTCCGCCCTCAAGAGTCGAATCCGTCTTAGCAAAAAGAGACCCCACCGACCACCAAAAAAACACAAAAAAGGTAAGAGAAAAAAAGCTCAGCAGCAACAGTTGAGTTCAAGTGCCCATCATGCTTCTTAATGATATTACATCCTTCATATTGTGCAGCATAGCTGTGTGTGAATCTTAAAAGGTCAACAAAGGCAAATATCCATGTGCACAATTCATAGAGCTACTGTATCAGCTATGTTTTCATCCTTTTGTGCATTTTGGAATACCACATTTTAGTAAATACTTAACAGAAATGTCAAAATGAGCAAAAATAATGAAAAATGCTCATAAAAAAATGTATGCGTACAAATAAGTGAGATAAACGTTTTATCTGATAAGAACAAATGTAGAAACTATGATGGAATCTCACTTATTGAATAAATTCCAGCATCATGTGATAACAAAAATGAGTGCACGGGGGTGGTGGCATTAAAGTATAAACCAGCAGACCAACTATTGTAAAACGTCTAAAATGTTATTTTGGTTTTTCTAAAATCCCTTAACCAAAGTCAATCATCACTTGTTTAGTATTATTATCTCTGCATACATTGTGTTGCATTGTCTTCAAGTAATGTTTAATAGAAGAAAAAAGGTCGATGGTCTTCTTTAACTGCAGCAAAGTCAAATTTTTTTTTGACATTCGCCACCAGTTTATGTTGTTCTTTTTGACTCATTGTCTAGAAACATAGCTTTATTCGCAAATGTTTTAAGAAGTATTACAGTTTTGCGCATAAGTCTAAAGGGAGGGGGTGGGGGTGTCAAGGATAAAAGTGAAGGGAAGAGGTGAGGGATAGGGACATTGTTGGGGACGAAAGTGAACACTGGGGGTTGGGTGGATGGGGTTTGTCTCTATACCCCTTGCAAGACTCACACTATGTACAGTTGCCTTGAACCAGGCCAAAGCATTGCTTACATTCGGGCCTGGGCATGCTTACGTCATCGATGATGCGCTGTTCAGTAAGCGCTTTCTTTCAGCACAATGGAGATTTGTTTAGTTATATCGTTTAAGTCGTATGATATGCAGTGACACGCAGTCAAATATTTGCCGAACAGATCAGCCACTTTTGACGCTCATAAATGATCTTAAAGTCCTCGTGCTGCAGAAATTAGGAGGTTTGCTGAAGGTGCAGCTGTCGTGCAGTGAGGGGTTTGCATCTTTAATTATCCACGACAGTTTGCATTCATTTAACAGTAAGAATGATTAATAAATCCAGATTCAGAGCACTTACACTTCTCAAACGATCTGGGAAACGAGCCTGGGCACGATTCGGAGAGTATACTGTGAGTACGCCCTACATCCGCCACAAGGCTTTCCTGCTGTTACCAGTTTGTCCAGTTAGCTCACCATGTACAGTGGTGGACTTGAGACGCAGACAGGTGTTGACAAAGAAAAGTTCCAGAAAGCAAAAAATAAAATAAACAAGTAAATAACAGGGTGAGAATGTGGTAAAATACACAGTAGCCCCTGGTGGATTTGCGAAAACAAAAACTGCAAAAAATAAAATAAAATAAATAAATAAAAAAAACTTAACTCATGGGACGTGTTTGGCACGCTCCAGAAATGTATATAGCAGTATGTATATAGCAGTATATAGCAGTATGTTTTCAGAATGAGTGTGGTTTGAACACTGTAGTTGTACTTAAAGTGTGGAAGAGTTTGGTTTGCTTTGTCTATGAAACCAATTCCATCACTGTTGTTATCATTGTGCTGAATAGTGCTGAAATTTGCATTTGGTTATGCGTTTCCTTTTAATTATGGTTTCCCCCACAGTCCAAAGACATGCAGTACAGGTGAATTGGGTAATCTAAATTGTCCGTAGTGTATGAGCGTGTGGGTAAATGTGTGTGTGGATGTTTCCCAGAGATGGGTTGCGCCTGGTAGGGCATCCGCTGCGTAAAAAACTTGCTGGATAAGTTGGCGGTTCATTCCGCTGTGGCGACCCCGGATTAAGAAAAGGACTAAGTTGACAAGAAAATAAATGAATGAATGTATGTAAAACAGCACAGGAGACCCTCAAAACTGAATCAGGAAACTTTAAATAAGCATAATCGGGCACTAATTGAAACAAATGAACTTAACATGGTTGTCTTTCTTATTTTCTCTCTCAGTAAAAGCAGAAAAGTCAAATGCCATATTCTACAAGATTCCCCCAGTCATCCTGACTGAATCTCCTTTGACCGCATTTCTACCACGTCACAGCACCCCCTTTTCCACACCTCCTGATTTACCTACAAAATGCACTCCTAGCCAGTAACTCCGGGACCTCTGGAGTCTTCATCTGCAGCTGTCAAGTCAATAACAGTACAAGCAGAGCTGATCACTCTCTATAGCTCACAACAGCCAAGACAAAACTTTGACTGTATGTAACTTCACAGCTACATGTCAGCTAACAGTTGTTAGCATGGTTTCAATTACAAAGTTGTGCACAGTTTTTGTGATTTTAGAAAATATATATAATGAAGTTTATTGAATTTTCATAATAATACACGTATACTAAGAGATCATGATTGTGGCTGCTGTAGCCAAGGTACAGCAGCAAAGTTCCTTGATTATAATGCCAGAACGAGAGAATAGTTCTTATACATGTCGGCTTAGAAAATGTCAACTTTTTGTTGCCTTTAGTACACAATGTAACAAGTCAAGCTTTAAATAGCAAAATAAGCACAAATAATTCTCTTTAGCACAACACAATTAACTATTTTGTAAATCATTTTTGAGTGAGATGCTAATGGTCTAATCCGATTCAATGATCTATGCTAAGCTAAGCTAAAAGTGCTACTGCCAGGTCCAGAAATCGGCTGAATGGATTCAGAAAAGGTAAAACTCACCTGTTTAACTCAGTGTTCCTTTAAGACGATGGATAATTCTTCAATTTTTACACTAACTATTCTTTTATTTTTTAGAACAGAAGTTATAAATAAGATTCATCATGTTAATGTACATTTAAAGATAAAATGTAACTTTTATATTATTGACATTATTAGTACTCCTGTTCATTTATAACTGCAGATTATGCAGAGCATTGTCTTTTTCCACAGTACAATCACATTTATTATCAGACAATGTTATATTGTGTGTTTTTTCTGTGTCTTTGATTATAAAGCCGCGTTATTGTGTTCTTCCTTCTGAGAATGAAACTCTAGAGTATTCAAAATGTGACGGCTAAAGTTTATATATCTTTCAAATGTTCAAATATTTCTTGACAAATATCTCTTAAATGATCTGTTTATTTATAGATCTTTATGTAGCATAAACATGTTTAATTTCATAATTCATGTCAAAGATTGTACATAAGTATATTTGAAGCACTTTTAACAAAAAGAATAATATGAACATTCAATCATCAGACAGGCAATAAATAAAATCATATCATTTTGATTGCAAAAAATCTCTTTATTAACTTTTTTTTTACTTTTTGTTGATGCAAAAAACAGATTTATTCAGAAAGATACATGTGATGATAAAAGCCAACATAGGCTCATTCAGAAAACGTAGCCCTATATACATGTCCGGAGATCACAAATTATGTGTCCAGTTGTACGTATGGCTGCATGTTGTTTTTAAAACAAACGCTATGAGGTGGCAGGATGCTGTTCCTTTTCGTGCTAACCAGCTGACTGCTTACCTCCGTATGGACGGCTTTCCCGCCGTTACCAGTTTGTCCAGTTAGTTCGCCATGTACATCAGTGGACTTGAGATGCAGAGAGGACTTGACCACGATGACAGGGTTTGAGGATTCCAGAAAGTAGGTAAGTGAAAATCAGAAGCCAAAAAATCTTTGCTTTTGAAAACACTATTGGTTGGGTTTAGGGAAGGGTTTAGCGAATGGCACTCGCAAGACATATTTGAGATCTGAAAATGCATACACAGCAGACTCTGGTTGATTTGCGAAAACAAAAACTGCAAAAAAACTTAGCTCCTGGGACGTATTTGGGGCTCTCCAGAAATGTATTTTGGGGTACGTTTTTTAGAATGAGCCTGATCTGATAAAAGCGCAGATCACACAGAGCGTATTTCCATGAACTCCTTACGCTTGAAGGCACAGATGAAGCTTTTTCTGACATTGCATTTGTCGTCATTCCACTTTCCAGCTTCTGAAAGGACAGTAAAATGTTTTTACCTTCTGAATTGTGCTTTAGCTCCATTCTCACTGCCTCACTAATGAAACCTTTAGCTAAACATGTATACAATATTGAAAATATAATAATCCAATAGCATGCAAGATTTTGTTTCCCCCCCATCATCCTCACCTTTCCAGTTCATCTCCAAGCATTCCTCGTTGCTAGTGTACATATGATTGGGCTCGCCAGGAACCCACCGATTAAAATTCCAGAAGGATCCATCGAGCCAGAAAAACTCACCAGACTGAGAGAAGACAAACAGAAAATGTGTGTAGTAAGTAAGATGAAGAACATGCTATTTACACTTTTTATTTACACTTCTGTCTCCTTGTATACCTTAAAAAACTCATAGGCCCCGAGCCAGATGCGTAGGCTTTTTGGGTTAAATTTTTTCACAATGCAGAGCAAGTAATTGTTATCCTGTGAATTATGCACAGACACCAGATGTGCACCAGGGGCTTTGCTCCTACACTTGAACTGGAAGTAAAGCAGGAAGAACAGTTAATGACTACAGAATACTTTGATTCCTTTTATTAATAATCTGGAGACTAATAAGAGAGTGTAGTGCTACTATACAGCGTATACCTCGGCTAGAGTGAAGTTTAGGCGACTGAAGAAGTATTTGACACAGCGTTGACCCACTCTGAACCAATCAGAGAATCCAGGCACATCACATGCTTTCGGCATTGAGCACCACTCTGTGGCATTCACACCTCCAGCATGAAAACCTAAAGACAGATAAAAACCATGACTTACACTTTGAACTTTTTAGATTCTATGATATCTGGGTTGATTTTTGCTATGAATATTTGCTTTTTCGTGTATTAAATATTTCCCAAATGCTGTTGAATGAAAATTCCTTTTGTCCTTGCCAGGATGACACACTCAAAAATTACTTGAGCTGCTTGTTTAAACTACTTATTTATAATGAGCTGAATCAAGGGGTTTTTGGGACAACTTAATTGTTTTATGTTCAACCCACTCAAATTTGTAAACAATTAAGTTAACTTCTTCAATTTGTGTTGGGGCAACATGAAGGAACAGTGTGAAGCCCTGTATTTTTAACAGTGCACTACATAATATTTTGCAAGTTATTTTGCAAGAAGTGCAATGTTAAGGCTTAACTCGGTTAATCAGGTTAACTACGCAAGTTAATTAGTCAAGTCAATGGAGTATAGTGGTTTGTTCGGCAGCCAAACAAGAAGCAAAAAAATAGTTATGAATGCCTTTTCCAGCTACATTAAAATAAGTATTTCTCCAGAAGAAAAACATAATATTCTTAAAAAATTATTTAGCTGCTTGTTTACTTCTTTAAAATGCAATGAAACAACACATTTCCTGAGATTTTTTTTTGGGACAACTTAGTTGTTTCATGTTCAATTCATTTATGTCACATGTTGTTGGGATAACATAAATGGATTATGTGGAATCCAGAATTTTTATAGGAAATAGTGTGAAAAACTTTTTAAAAAGAATGGAAAATTCATAAGAGTTAAAAATGGCTAATAATAAAATCAATAATAAAACTGATTGTAATATATAAATAAGGCTAATAATTTTGTCTTGAACTGTAATGTTTCAGAGTGACTAGACGCCCCTTTTAGTTTGTTTGTTTGTTTGTTTATTTGTTTCAAACAGGACAGACTTATCCTTTCAAAAATGATATTTGCTGTATGTTCAAATTACTTATTTAAAAACATCACAATTCTTGAGTTTTTGGGGGACAGTTTCATTGTTTTGTGCTCAATCTGCTTGAATTTGTAAAAAAAAAAAAAAAAGAAAGAAAGAAAGAAAAGTAACTTAATTCTTTTATGTTGTCGCAACAAAAATTGATTGTGTGGAACCCAGCATTTTTTACAGTGTATTTCAACTCTTTGTTTATTGTCCCAATTATTTATGAAAAAGTTGGAAAAAAAAGTTTTCATTTTTATCAATTCCGATTTTAGGATTTAGGGGCAGATTTACCTCTTTCACCAAAAACAAACAAACAAAACAAAGTAATAAAATTTCTATAGCTGAATTTATTGAATATTAACTTTCAACAGCATAACTTCCAATCTCATCTATGCTTTAATTTAGTAAATCTGTTGCAAATTTTTCATCATTTTCAAATTTCGTCATAAATGTAATGGATTATCAATGAAACGTTACCTCTCTCCATTTTAAAGAAGTTGCCACTTCCAAAAAGAAGAACCAGCAGAACGCCAATAGATCCTGCTTTCCACTGGAGAAAAACACACACATAATATTAAACCGTGTTAACATGCTTATTATTATTATAGTTGTTGTCTTCAAGAGCTCAAAAATGTTGCAGTATTAAAACTGGGTATAAAAAGGATGTTCACTCACCATCTTTCTTGATCTTTAGTCTTCCTTCTGTGCTCACAAAAACTATCAGATCTATATGTCCTTATTTTATACCAAAACATTCATTTTCACACCTCCTCCTCTGGTCTCATTCACTCTTTATCAAACAGGAAACCTTCACACATCTAGTTTCTGTACTGTACAGATGTACAGGGTATTACTGCAAATAGTGACCCTGAGCCAAAAAACCAAGCTTATGTTCACTGTCAAAACTGATGCCTTTCACACAATTGATTTGTGTTGAATTAAGTTAGCTTATTACAAATTTATGTGAATTGAGCATAAAATAATTAAATTGTCTTCCCAAATAAGTGGTTTGAACAAACAGCAAATGTCATTTTTAAATCTTGCACAGGTATTTTTGGGCAATAGACAAAAATACATTATATGGGTCAAAATTATTTTTCTATTTTTGCGAGAATTCATTAGAATATTAAGTGAAGATCAGTCGGCACCAATAGCCTAGTGGTTAGTGCGTCGACACAGCACCAAGGTGCTCACGGTGACCTGAATTTGATTCCTGGCTCGAGGTCTTTTGCCGATCATTCCCCTATCCCTGCTCCCCACACTTTTCTGTCTGTAAAATCTCCACTGTCCTATCCCAATAAAGGTAAAACCCTCTAAAAAATAATTATTAAAAAATATATAATATTAAGTAAATATCATGTTTCATGAGAATGTTTTGGAAATGTCCTACCTAATTTTTTGATGAGTAATAGTCTATACATAGATACGAACTTGATATGGAGAACTTGAAATGTGATTTTCTCAATATTTTGATATGTTTGAACCCTCAGATTGAAATAGTAATATTAGAAGTTATAAAGTCCTATCCTAACAAACCATACATAATGCTTATTTATTCAGCCTTCATTTGTATGTAAATAATCAATGTATCTCAATGTTAAAACAATTGACACTTATGACTGGTTCTGTGGTCAAAAATATATTTTTGTTAAAAACATGCCAAAACATACCATGGTAATGTATGCTAACTGACAAAAGTCTAGTCATTAATCCCAGTTTTAAGAGCAACAAATACTAATTGGACTTCTAGTGGATGATTTGGAAAAGTGCCAGAAGGAAGATTTTTCTGATGAATCATCTGTTGAACTGCATCCTAATCATCACAAATACTGCAACTGGAACCCACATGAAGCCAGGATTCTAACAGAAAACAGACAAATCATGGTTTAAGGTTACATTCAGCATGGGGGTGGGGGGGCTGAGAGATTTGCAGAGTGGATGGCAACATCAACTTTCTGAGGTGTTAAGACTGGCTGCCCATTACATTACAAACCACAGGAGAGGGCAAATTCTTCAGCAGGATAGCGCTCCTTCTCATACTTCAGCCTCCAACATCAAAGTTCCTGAAAACAAAGAAGGTCAAGATGCTCCAGGATTGGCCAGCCCAGTCACCAGACATTATTAACATTATTTAGGATGTCTGGGGTAAGATGAAGGAGGAGGCATTAAAGATGAATCCAAAGAATCTTGATAAACTCTGGGAGTCCTGCAAGAACGCTTTCTTTGCCATTCCAGATTACTTTATTAATAAGTCAATTGAGTCATTGCAGAGATGTATAGATGTGGTTTTCCAAGGCTTTTGTCAGGTAGTGCACATCAACTTTCCACAAGTTACACATTGTGTTTTTTTCAGGGATAATTAAATGTGTAAATGCAACAGATGATGTCCTGATAGAAAATGAGCATCTTTTTCATATAATGAACAAATGATGCAATGATTGAGAAGATTGATTTTTCTTCAGACATGATCAAGTTTTACTAATTCTCTTGCTACTCTTCTCATTACACCGTAAAAAGCAAATCCTCTAGTTAACTTTACTTTAAAACATGAGTAAACCTGTTTTTTTTAAAGTGATTAGTTGCTTTAAATGTAGGTAAATGAACTCAGTCAACTTAACAGTTACAATGGGTTTAGTCACTTTTCTAAGTAATGTAATGTAATTGCCTTTTACAGTGTACAACCTCATTCATTCAGAGCTCTTTTAACTAACTATTGATTCAAACTAAACACAGAAAGAAAGAATTGCAACATATTTCTTTAAGGATGTTTTTTTCTGAGATATATCAGGGTAGTGTTTGGCAATTGAGCTAAAATAAGTGTTGTCGACAGTACATTGAACACAAAAAAGGCATCGGGTTAATAACAAGCAACCAAATTGTCTCACAGCTTTACCACACTGGATGGTAAAACCACCAGTTCTTGTGATTACAGACAAGCTGCCAGGCAAAGCTTTTATTTTGTAAGTCCCAGCTTTATGCATTTGCAGTCTGATGCCTGCAGATGTGTGAAAGGCTCAGATGATTGTTTTTTTGTCTTGAATTCACCTTTAGCATTTTAAATGCCAGTCACTTTGTATCGCATTCAATTTCACAACCCCTCCTATTTCTCTCACATCTCTTTCTCGTTTTTTTGCACATGAATACCTCTTGAAAAAACTGCAACCTCACACTAAACACCCTGATAAGTTGACTGAATTTGTCTGATTGAGTAAACTCAATCCCTCAGTTTATTTGAGTAGCGGGGTTTCCCAAAACGCACATATTGAATTTTATTGAACTTGGTGAATTTGTGGTAAGTACATTCACTTTTGAGGTCTCCTAAAATGTATAAGATTAAGTTTATTGAACTTGGTGCATTTATAGATTGTAGTTAACATAATAAGTTCAAAATTATTTGGTGTTAATTCGACACTTTTAATTAAACCTAATTTAATGTACAATTAATTCTTAATCATAAATTATTTTTGACAGACATGCATATTTTTGACATGCATACTAAATAACTGCACTGCTTACAGTATTTAACTGTCGTATTAACTAAAAGTAAATTGACAGGCAGTAAACAGTACGCAGTAAAACTTTTTGGGAATTGTTCATCACTATAAAGTCAGTAATAACAGTAGAAAGTCCAACACTATTTATTGCGCTTAAACTAATGAACTTCACACTAATGAATTAAAGCTATAATTTATTATATCACAAAAAATAAGTAAATGCAACCTAAATAGTGAAATGTAATAAGACACAATGGGATCTATTTTAAAGATCTAGGCGCAAAGTCTAAAGCGCAGGGCGCAAAAACATTAAGAGCATGTCCGTTACAAATTCCAAAATTGTGGCAGTGGTTTTTATGTAGAAAATAATATAAAAATAACAACATTTTAATTCTTTAATTCCTGTAATTTTTATATGTAAAGATATTTGTATATTGCTGTACGTCCTGTGTGTATTAAGCAATATGTAAGTGTTTGGACCCGTTTTGGCACATAACTAATGCGCTCTCTGTTGGACTTTAGACCAGTTTTTAGTTTTTAGTTGGTCAATGTCACAGTTTATTTCAGATCCTTAAAATAGCAATGTGTCAACAATGCGCCATAACCAGGGCTGGACTGGGGCAAAAAATCGGCCCTGGCATTTTGGGCCAGAGCGGCCCACTACATTCAATCAAAATGCTATGTATCTATGCACGTCCAATATTTTTATCAACTCATATTCTATAAAACATAAAAGCCATATATATATGAAATAAATACAAACTTTAATCTCAATTTAATTTCTGTATACAGTCCATAAAGATATTTGTTGAGTTCTAAAAAATATACTATTCATTCATTTATTTTCCTTCGCCTTAGTCCCTTATTTACCAGGGGTTGCCGCAGCGGAATGAACTGCCAACTATTCCAACATGTTTTATGCAGCAGATGCCTTTCTAGCCACAACCCAATATTGGAAATCCCCCATACACACTCATTCACACACACTCATACACTACAGCCAATTTAGCTTATTTAATACACTATTCACTCAGCCTATATTTCAATAATAAACATAACAAAAACTGCCTGCTGATGCATGGCTAAATCTTCAAAGGGAACAGTGTACTTTATAACCTCATCCTGCTTGCTGTTTTACTATCTAAAAAATTCAAACATAATATGTCAAATTTGTTTCATTTTGATATTATGATTAACAGACACCAAACAGCCTCGTGTAGCTACATATGTACATGAGCGTCATCTTCACACAAGCCAAAACAGGGCTTAAATATAACTGCCTCCTTTCATTTTAATTGAAAAGAATGAACTTCATCCCGTCTCTTTTGCAGAATATCAATTTTAATAATCAATGGCCATTATAAAAGTATAACGTACAATAAATGTATTTGATAAAGGTAAGCAATCAGTCAATGTGCAGAATCAGTGTGTTACATAAATTAATATATTATCTTTGCACTCAGCCAAAACAGTTACCTGAGAACAAGTGATTCAAAAGACATAAGAGTTGTTAGATAGAGACAACAAGATGAATTCCATATCACGTTTAACAACTATAGTGAGATGAGATCCAGCAGATGAACTGTCTCACATGCGCTATACTCTCACCTGGGGTTTATGCTCACCCGCTGAACTACTGGCTGCAGCTCTTGGCAGAGAGTGTGTGGTCACGTAATTTGCATTTTAGCCATGTACTAGAATGAACGGAGAACTTTTCAGAACCGCTAAATGAAACGCCGGTGTATTTTCCGTGATTTTCTGCATCTCCTTTCCGTTTCTTCTCTCTGACTCTCAAATATTTTGACAAATACACACAGACGATGCATGCTCAAACAGAGCCCAAAATAGGAGTTTGTGATTGGGCCAGCCCAATGTCAATAAAGAAAAGAATCAATGGGCTGCAGAGTGTCACATGGGCCGGCCCGGTCTGTCTGTCCGGGAAAAAAAGCATCTTACTTTCAGAGAGAGTCACGGATCACAGCAGCGTCAATTAATAAGGCAGAAAAAACGATAGGCTGCTAAGCCTTTTATGTTCATAAGACGATAATCAGCGGCAGCCTGGCCCAAAAAGTACGTCGGCCCAGCGGGAAACTGCCCAGTCTGCGTCTGCCAGACGGCCAGTCCGCCCCTGACCGTAACACACCACCTTTTTTTTTAGACTGGCACATCCATCAGTCCACAAAGTTGTGCAAATAGATTTGCTATTTAA